GTGGATGGATCAGTATTCTACAAAAGATTTGTTACCAAAACACCTCCCACTCTTTCCAGCTCTGGTTTTTAATGAGTGTCAGTGCAGGAGATCATAAATTAAAGTATTTCAAAAGTTTGTCGGGACAAATTTCATCAAAGCACGGGAGTACGAATGGGGATATTAAAGGATTACTCTTATCAGCTTTCTTGTGTTATTTGTTTATTCAGAAAACGTTCTCATTATGACTCCTAAGCAGATAGAAAATGATCTCAAAATCAGTCACGACTCATCATGTGTATCTGAAGGCATGTTTACAATGAGCATCAGGGGATAAATGTGTAAGCTGAAACATTTTGGGTTTGTGTGTCTGTTCATCTCAAGTGCAGCAGTGATTAATGCTAACACACAGACGTTGGTGCTTTATAATCTCTTTTCTCTGGTATGTGTCACTTCTGCTGATAAGACTGTTACATGGATATATCATCATTCAAAGTAGTTGTAGTGTCTTTGCCAGACTGTTTGAGACACAACAACAGCTGTTCTGAGTGAAGCTATCATTTTTAGAGCTCCCCCTGGTGAACTGCTGCAATGCAGGTATTAAATTTCCCATCAGGGATAAAAAAAAGTTCTGCTTATCTTATCCTTCATGATAACAGATGTAACATAGGTCAAAATGTAGGACACTTGAATATGGTACACATCCTATATTGCCTTTTTTTTAAACATTCATGACAGTTTATTATGCTGATAGAAGTTTTAATTTTTCTGAGTGGCCCATTATTGATTATTATAGAATCTTCATTTTAGTTGCATTAGGGAACAAGAAACGTTTAGTTTTGAGGGCATCCTAGAGAAAGAAGAGTTTAAACACTGTTCTTGTATAAGGACTGGTATAGCCCACAACCATTGTTAAAGGAATGGCATGAAATTAATTTAGGGTTAAACACATCGGAACACAAAGTTAGACACCCCCTCAGGAGATGAATGTTGCCACCAAACATCTTTTTAACTTTGCCTAATTTCTTTAGCAAAGAGACTAAACACAACTCACCTACTCTCTTCCAGCAGCCGTTTGTTTGTAGTTAGACCTCATGCCAGTCCATTACGGACTACAGCGGGGTGGCGCAGCTCAAAGAAGAACATTTATGATATTGGTTCATGGAAATGCAATCAAACCAAGATGCTAAGGCAGAAGAACTACCGCGTCTGCAGTGCAAAATGATCCAAATTGACCACTGTGTATTGCTATCGTGCAGTCGTTACTAAAGTTGGTTTAACTAGAGAAGCAAGCAGTCAGCAATAGTCATCTCTCGAGGGGGTGTCTAACTCAGTGTTATGGTGTTTGACCCTAAATTAATTCTATGCCAGAATATCCCTTTAAGTTTCTGTACAGCTTTGAAGCTCCTCTAGTATCATCAGTTCATATCATCCTCTATTATCATTTGGGATATGACTGACTGTTGACTTGACTTTTGGATAGAAAAACTGAAACTGTATGCGAAGAGGCTAAAAGCCAGGCAAAACGGAACCTCTTTTCCTCAAGCTCAACCCAAAGTTAGGTTAAGACAACAATTCTACCAATACTAAGCTTCACAACTCTGTTTCAGAAACTGAAGTTTGTTATCACTTGGGCTGTGTCAATATTTTATACAGTCAATGAGATAGACCTACTCTCTAATTTGAGGATAGTCACATTGACCCCTCTGTTGGTTATTTATTGTTTGAGTTGAGGAGTCTTCTCAGCATTCCTGTTTAAGACCGTTTAATTAATCAGTGCATGTTTTCTTAAAATGCACAACTAAAGGCTAAGAGAGAGATGCTGTTGGAGCTGCTACTGTTGTTTTCCCGACTATTGACCAAGCATGCTTTGGCTTCAAAGCAGTCACTTACTTCTCTGCAGGGCAATATGCAATAAATTATCTCTCTGTGTTTTACATTACTATACTGGTTACACTATAGTACTGGATAGTATAGGAGGCAGCACCCTATTCAAATGACAAATAGGTATTCAAAGTGCATCCTATACACTTAATTTTATGGTAGTTATTTTACTGACAAATTTGAGTTCCTGCAGCATTCTGTACCATAGAATAGAGGGAGAACACTGAGGTAAAACCAAACAAACACTAACAGAGGAGTTAATGAACGTTTAAAAGTTGTGAGTATCTGCTTCAAATCAAGTCAAGAACCTATTCTGTTGCAGACTGACTTGAGAGATTGCAGATATTTTAGCATTAAATTGAATTAAATTTAATGTGTGTTCTGTCTCACTAAAGACCTTCACCATCCAGTTGGCTTCTGGGCAGGCCTTAGCTTCACCAGCAAACTATGTCAGCATCCATCTTGGCAGTACTTTAGCTTCACTACTCACAATGGCAGTACACTGAAAGATACCATCTATGCTGTCAATGGTTTACACTCTTACACTGTCCTCTAATGCAGTGGTTCTCAAGTCCAGACCTCGAGGCCCCCTGTCCTGCATGTTTTGGATGTTTCCCTGCTCCAACACACCTGATTCAAATGATTAGCTCGTTATTAAGCCATTACAGAGCTTGATAACGAGCTGATAATTTGAATCAGGTGTGATGAAGCAGGGAAACATGCAGGACAGTGGACCTCGAGGACTGGACTTGAGACAAACTGCTCGAATGACTTATCAAAACATGCTACATTTCAGAAAACAAAGTCCATGCAAAAGTGTAGTGAGAGGGCTGGGATCTGTCTTAGAACTATGAGTGAGCTGAGCATTTATTCACTGGATGAAACTTCAATCTCTTTTCAGTTCCTTGAATTAAATTCTGAAAGAGTCCATGCTTGTTATTCATGTCATCCGAGACAGTTAAGTCTCTCTTTGTGAGTGTGAGCAACTTCGGCAGATTCACTGTCAGAGAATTAAAGTCAGATACTGTGGACACAATGAAAAAGCCCTGTTTTTTTCCTGAGATAATGGCTCATACTCCAGTATCTCAGGAACTTTTTAGACTCACTTTCTTGAAATTTAGACTGTCAATAATGTTATGCTGTGACTTTACTGGATAGCAGATTTTGGTCCAAAGTCATGAAACAATAAAATCAAACTATTGCATTAAAAAAGGATTGATTCTTTCTTAGGAGATAAATATTATTGCAAACTGTACATAAGGACAGGTGTATTGTTCCAATGTGCAGGGAGACTCAACAAACACATTTAGCATTTTAAAAGCCTATTTATCATCATATTACACCATCTGTGTTGTCCAGATTGCCTGGCTGCTGGCTTTGTTGAGCCAACAACACGCTCTTAGCTAGCACTCATTTATTTTACTAAAAAAGAAGGAAAGAAAAAAAAACCCACAAACGTTAGAAAGTACTCTTTCTGTTCTTTTATTAAAAAATAGCAGATCTTGCAGGACTTCATCTGTTCAAACGAGCACTAGGAGTGTAGATTACATAAAACTCCCATTCTTGTTAAAATAAAAGGTGTTTAAATTATATTTAATGTGCAGACCAAGGTAATCAGAATTATAAATAGCCTCTCAAAATGTCCATATGTATAGCACAAATGGGTTTCTTTTTGCAGCTCAACAGTGAGCATTTAGTCAGGCTCACATTAACTCACATTTATCAGCAAGGCCACTGCTGTTGCTCTGACAGTTATGAAATTTTAAACAACAAATAAAAGCACTAACTCAAACCATTAAGTAGGTCAAGTGACTGAGGAAAAACCTCTTACCAAAATAATTATATATTTCACATCTAAAGCCACTCCAAAGGCTGAATATTCTCACAGTGAGTAAATTTAGAAACAACTGCTTAACAAATTAGCATGAAGGTCACTGAGGAGCTCCTTGCGCTGCTTTGAAATGCTGTCAGGTGAAATAACACGACACTGTCAATTTAACAGCAAACTAAGAACCCAAATCTTTTCTGAGAAAACTGCAGCAGCTAGACTGTCCTCATGACTTTGTCCACCGCCACATCAGAAGTGGTATTTAGTTCGACCAAGAAAATTGTATTTGCACACTGTGTGGCCTGATTTCTAATGATGCTCTTTGAAGTTAGGAAGCATTGGGCCCACACATGAAGAGGTGCGAGCTAGTGAGCTAGGCTGACTTGAAGTGGATGTAGCTGTAGTCACTAAGTTACCCTTGAGGTTTTGAATGTAGTCCCATAAAATGCCTAGTTGTAAATATTTTCAAGCATATATAACCTCCCAGCTCTGCTTTATCTAACCCTCTGTCCCTCTTAAAAAATGGTGAAAAAAAAGACTAAAGCCTGATAGACTAAAACAAGACAATAATATTAAATAAACAGATAAGCAAGAGCTCTTTACCATGTAAAAGGGGTAAAAGAAGTAAAAACCTCTATGATGGGAATTAAGAAAAAGAGAAATATAAAAGGCAATTAGTGAAAAGCCTAGTTAAAAAGGTGAGTCTTGAGCCTCTTCTTAAAAGCATAAACAGTCTCTGCGCCCCGAGGCTCTCCAGCAGGCTGTTCCACAAATTTCTATTTAGGCAATTGATATAAGGTAAGGAGTCTGTCTCTTTTAATTTCCTCATGCATCTGGGGTTATTAAAGACAACCAACAACTTTTTTAGATGGAAACAAAGCTTTAAAATGTGATATAATTTCTCCAAATGAATAGTGCATTTGAAGTGCAATTTGTCTGTTGACTGTCTTTGCTAGACCGCGACACTTTTTTGTCTCTTTTGGTAGCCGTAGCTGTGTACCGGTCTCTGGTTGCTTAGTAACGCTCCCTAACGACAAACTGTTGAGGTGAGAAATGAGGTGCAGCGTTAGCGTTTGAAGGATTAGCAGATATTACTATGTCAAATCAAATAACTGAGCACCGTTTGTGGTAACACGAAACTTAACGGAGTTACGGACGTTATATTTTTAGTTCGAAGCCTCCACACAAATGTGGAATTTAGTTAGGCGTAGCGCAAATATTTACGCCGAAATAAAGTCAACCTGAGTTACCTGACTGACGTTAGCTCACGGCTAACTCTTATCAGCTCCGTTTGTAACTGTCTCCAGCGATGGAGCTGGATGTTCGTCACTATCTTACAACGGCGAAGGAGCAACAAGGTTTGTTTGTGTTACCTTTGATAGAGGTAACGAGTCGTTTAAATTTCCCTTTAGTGTTTAAAACGGCATGTTATCTCTGTGTGTGTAGACTCCGGAGCCTTGCAGTCAGCTTACAGTTTACTCTTAAAGAGCAACAGAGAAGCTGGAACCTGTGGACTGATCCCACGCATCAGCCTGGACCTGTACACCGTCTGCGCCGAAGTAGCTCTGCAGGTGAGAGTGAGGCCGGGATTGTTTGCTATTATGGGTCTGTTTACTGCCAGAGGAGGTGCAGCTCTGCTTCATATTTCACTATGAATTATATCAATCTCTAACCCAGTCAGTTTACCTGACAATGCACAACATGTATGTATGTATGTATGTATTTTTCCTTTTGACAAGATTCCCTTTTGACAAGTAAAAAATAAAATTATTTTCAGTAAGCCTATAGCAGTTTCAAGTCTTAGTCACCTTGTCTGATGAGTCAAATCTAGTCAACTAGCCCATGATACAACCTGATTGAGGATGCAAGTTCCTATAGGACTCCACAGACAACAGAGTGATTATCTGAGTAACTCTATTGCATTATAACTATATTTAAATCTGCAATTTACAGTTTAATAAGGAGTACAAACCAAGATCTGGTGATATGACTTAGTGAGAAACTTGTTAATATGAAATTTCCAACTTTTTGGCGTGATCTACTTTAAATTGTTCCTATTCTGTGCAACTTAGCATGTAACGTATTTCTCCCACTATGTGATTTGCCTCTTTTTGAGATGTGAGAATAAACAGATGAGCTGCTGCTTTTAGATGCCACTAAGCAAGAAACTGATTTGGTAGGAAGTTGGATTTTAAAGAATCAAATCATTTCAATATTTTGTCACTTTGGGCAGGTGTGAGGTCTTGCTGGTTAAAGAAATCAGCATTTCCATAAAACTTGTCAGGAGATGAAAGAATAAGGTCCTCTGAAATATCCTTTTAGATGGTAACATTGACTTTGGACTTAATAAAACACAGTGGAGCAACTCCATCAAATAGTATAGCACCCCAAATCATCACAGACTATAGAAATTTCATGCTTGACTCCAAACACCTTGGGTTCTGTGCCTCTCCAATCTTTCTCCAGATCCTAGGACCTGGTCATTTCTGTTGTCTGTGCCTCTTTTCCCCCTTCACCTTTCCCTTCCATTCACCTTTCCATTAATATGCTTCGATACATCACTCTGTGAACAGCCAGCCTTTTTAACAATGACCTTAGGTGGCCTACCCTCCATGTGGACGGCGTCATTGATCATCTCCTGGATGTCCATCAAGTTTGCAGTCTTCCTCATGATTGTGGTTGTGCGTACTGATCTAGACGTAGAGATACATGGTTTCTATGTGCTGTCTGAAGAGTGATTAACTCAAACAGAAAAAAAGCACATTTTATTTTATTTTTTGATCTGGGTTGTCCTTTTTTGAGCTATTGGCTTAAGTTAAGTTCAAGAGAGAAAAAACAAACAAAAAAAAACACTTTGGTCTGCATGTCATGTGTCTAGCATATACTTAAGTTTCACTTTATTGTGTAACTGGAGGAAAACATTGTTTTTCTTTCCTTCGCGAAATTCCTATTTTTGAGATGTATCTGAATATCCAGTTTGGTTTCATAGTCTACATATATGAATCCACCTTTAACCTCCACACACTTTGAAGCTCTACAATAACTTGAAGTCAATAGGCACTTTTAAAGTGTAATGGCAAACACTTAGTCAACTAGTTCTGACACTTTGTTTGTCACAATTAGATATTGGCGTAAAGGAGCACTGATATAAAGCCTCTGCTGAACCCTCCCAGCTAGAATAGTCTGATCACCAATTTTTTAATGTCAGTTTTTATACAGCAACTCTATTTTCTCTATATCTGACTTTTCTCTCAGCAGGAGACAGTAATGAATATTCACTAATATAGACTGAGATGTCCCAGGGCAAGGGAAACAGATTTGAATAATGAAATGCAGTGATATTCCATAATGTAATTTGTTCTCTCTCCTCTATATCAAGTTTTCTCTGTTAAAGTGCTGCTCGCCTTGAAGTCTCAGGCCTAAAAGAATACCAAATTACACATCAAAATATTCTCCAGTTTTCATGAGAAGCATGAGTATTCCTTTTCAATAGACATTTTCTGTCATACTGATCTCTATTTCATGGGTTTTATGATCTTCAAGCTTGCAAAAATGAAGTACTTAATCATAACACATTTAAAGTGTACAGTATGTAGTCATAGGAGCAAAACAATTCACTATATGAGAGCTTTACTATGTGACCCAGCAGTAAACCATAAAACACAGCGCTGTCATTCTCAAGAATAACAACCTGCAAATAAGACTATTGTTTACCATGTGTAAAATACAAGTACATCTCACATACAGTATAGTACATTATTCCATATCTGAATTCTTTTAATAATGCATCAAACCTGAAAAAGTGCTGGTGACTGTGGGTATTGTTGAAATATTCATTTTGTTTGGTCTTTTGCCTCTCCTTCTCTGTGTTTTCAGCTGGGTTGTTTGGAGATAAGCGCAGCGTGTCTAAAGATGTTCTTTGAAGGGAATCCGCCGGCTAATCAATTTTTGTGTCGGGCCTACCTCTGCCAGGGCCAACTGAAGTCTCCGCCAGCCACTGGGACTGTGGTGAGGACAGTAAATTGGACACGTATCTCTAATGGGTGTTGTGTGTTTATTATTTTGTTTGTGTCATCAATATATACACTGTAACTGTACAGATGTGCTGTATGTGAGTGTTTTTAAATGAGTAGATTTTCTTGCTCTTGCTGTTTCTCTCCTCAGAGTTAAGTGCAGTTCTTTCTTGTCTGATCTGATTATTTTATCATTATTTTATTATTATTTAAAGGCCATGGCCTTTTTCTCTTGGTTGGTCTTTGTAGTTTGTATAATGTGACAAGTTCTCAGTCTCCCTTTTGCACTGTTTTCTATTTCAGGAGGACTTTGAAGAGGCTGTGCTAAATTTTCTTAAAGCAATTGAAATTGCGAAATCTGAGCCAGGGTATGTAACCTTCCAGAAGCACACTCGGCTTTGTTGTTACAGTGTCGAGAAAGTTGACCATTTTACGTCACGTACAGTTTGTCATCTCAAGTGCCTTTGAATACAGGAAATGAAAGTCTGCTGCACATAGATATTCTGGGTCATGGGAGTTTAATTTGCAAAGACATTAGTTGAAACATAAAACCCTCAAAGCTTCATCCTGTACATCTGTTAATAAGCATTAAGTTGTCAAAACTTGTGGTAGAAAAGTTCCCTTGTTTATGTTTCCCTGTTTCCCGTGTATTTGGATATAATGGCTTATTCTTTACTAACACTGACTGTCTTTGCTAATGAACTCATAAGCTGTCAATAAAGCTGAGTGAGCTATTCTGATTAACACCATGGGGAATACATATTTGATGTATCCAGCCCAGACTAACACAACCCACTCCCTTGTGAATAAATTAACAGCACTCAAACAGTCTGTTCACAGTTTCCTCTTAAGAAGTGCCTTGAATTCATAAATTCCCGTTTCCCGTATGGAGGCTTGCATGGTGCTCTCTTGGGGCTCATTGGTCGAAGCTTTATCCAAACACATCTGCAATTTACAGGACTTCTCCGCACAAAGATGACACTTGGTCTGAATTTAGTTTTACTGAGAGATAAAACAGCTAGCATGTGCATAATATAAATAATTCAGAGTCCTCTGTTTGCTTGTTTAACTTGAGGTTTGTTTGTTGCAGATGCTACTTCATAGTGTTCAACGCCTCAGTGCTGTACCTCCAAACTGTGCGTCCCCTCCTGCAGCCGGGGCGGTGTCATCACCTGGTCTCCTCCCTCAGACAGGTGGTCCAGAGTCTAGATGAGGTGGCAGACCAGGACCACAGCTGGAGAGCTGAGCTCATGATGCAAGTGACCCCTCAGTGCTCTCGTACTTTTCTCTCATGAATAAGTCCAGCCCTGATTCTGTCCAGACTCATGTTGGATTCGAAAGGGTGACGTGTGGGGCTCATTAACCAGGAGCTTTCTATCCGGCTCCCTTGTTAATTTGTAGTTTTATTCTCCTTTATCAAGCAGAGAATGTTTTAATACACACTTTTTTATCATGTTCTCTCATTAAAGCAAGAACCCCAGTCTTACTCATCTTTCAAAGGACGTAATGAACCAGTCATGTATGGATAAATGTTAGTGATACAAATAGCCCGAGGGGGTTTTATGATTGGGTACAGTATGTCTGAAATTCACAGCTGGGTAAAGCCCATCCAAGATAGATGCCAACATATTCGAAAATCTATTCAAAACACGGTGTGCTGTCAATAACGAAGAACACAGTCATACACTGACATACACAGAGAGGACTTAATATGAGAACACCTTGTTATTTATTCTGTAAAAAAAAAAAGCTCTCGTAAATGGCTGAAAAAGAGCAGAAAATCTGAAAATATATGATAGCACAACTAAAAACAACTTAAAACATTTAAGACGGCCTTACAGAAATCAGAAAGAAACCTTGTGCCAAGGATACACTGACATCAGAATGCCAGACTATAGCAAGTACGCCAGTGATAAAAAATAAGTGAGGTATTTGCTGTAGTGCAGGGAAAAGTGACATTGAAAATCTTTACTCAGTGTCCTTGTTCTATAAAAGAGATTAGCTTTCCAAAGACAGAAATGACTCTTGAGCAAATACATACATTGCTTTGAAAAACGTATGTTTGATTTAGGTACTTATCTTGAGTAGCAGAAGTGAGGCACAACATCATCTCATAGTTAACTCTTACCATCCTGAGGAAACATCAGCAGTTTCCCTGAAAGCCGCACTAGCTGAGATAATTCAGGCTTCATATTTCCATAAACAGATGTAACTTGGAGTGAATAATGTTCTCTTATCTGTCCGGCAGAAAACTGACAACTTCAGCTTCAGTTTTCAAACATTTTTGTCATTAAAATTTGTCATTACGATTTTCCATCTGTTAGGTTACATCCATGTTAACTTTTCTTTTCTGCCGTTTTACATATTTTCTATGATTGACACTTGATACAGCGTATGGACGTACAAGGATTGCATAGCTCACCCAGGGGATACGCTGTTTGAGCCAAGCTTCATCACAGTGACTCTCGGCGACTCTCCCGCCGAATGTGTACAATGCTACTGCGCAAGTGGTGGCGTGTGTACAACGTTACTGCGCAATGTTGGTTTCAAGAAATGAAGAAAAAATGTGGAATTACCGAGAGCTTTTTGGCTTCAAATCTGTATACTGGAACCAAGTTGTCCATAGTATACAGTCTATGGTTCTTGCTAGTTTGTCTATTCTTGGCTACAGAAAGCATGGCAGTGCGACAAGGCAGCCTCTGTAGCAAGGACCTGCTGTTTCTACAATATAAAAGACTTTTATCACAAATAAAACAATTGTTAATTTTCATCAATATAAACTATTCAAACAAACTTCTGCATAAAACTTTCCGTTCAGGTTATTTACTATTACCTTTAATCAAAGGTATTTATAGTTTTGTATAGGTGTAAAAGAAATGGTGACATCTCATTTATAAACTGAAGACTGTCACAGCAACCATCGCAAAACACTGAAGCTTTGTCTTTCCTTCTGTACAGACACCTCATCAAATGTCTTGTGGGCTCTGGGAACACTGAAGAGGCTAGAAGTTTCACCAAAGTCACGGAGGAATTCATCAAGTCAAATTCCCCTCATCTTTATCCGAGACTCTTCACACTGCAGGTTAACAACATCTTTTTTAAAAGCTTTTAGTTTTAAAAGCTTAACATTTGCAAATTGTGTGGATGCGGTTATGAAGTTATGTACCTCAAAAAGTAATTTGGAAAAAAGAAAAAGATATATGTTTTTTTTGCCACATTTGATCAGTTTCAGAGTTGTTTTTAGCCCATAACAGGAAACGAAGGGAGCAATTTGTCATTTAAACCAAGGAAGAGCTCTGAATAAAATTGTCACGTTTGTATTTACTTGTTTCTTAGGTGCTGCACAATCTAACAGAGAGTGATGTCCTCATTGAGAAGAGCCAGCAGTGTTCCACTTTAGCGGCCATTTACAAAATACAGCATTTGAAGAAGTAAGTAAAGTGTCTTTGTTATATTTATGTCGTTATTCTTTCCCTTTGACATTGCAGAAGCATTTGTTTTGCAGAGAGACGTGTTGTTTTGCTTTCATGATAAAAGTCTTTTACATCTAAGCAGGCTGTGCTGTAGATGCAGTAGTTAAAAGCAAACATTATTAAATCAGATCAGAGGCTTCTTTCTCTGGTCAAACGTGGAACCGTCTTTTTGAAACGAATACATGTTTTTTTAAAGAATGCTTCTTGTTTCTAAATAGGGCAGTCATAGCTTTTATCAGTTTTGATCTTAAAAGGAGGATAGGAAGATAGTTATATAAGGGTTAATGCCCGCAAGGTGTCCATTATCAGGGATTAAAGGACATCTGGGGGCAGGAATAGTATGTCAGATAATCACAGATGTGATCTACAGAATCAGTACACTCAGATGGGCAGTATATTCTCTGGTGATTGTCTATTACAGGTCCCATCCTGTAGGTTTCAGAAGAAGAGGCATATGAATTTACATAAACATGGATTACCTAATCCTGCGTATCATTAATATTAATTTTGAGTTGACAATCGTTTTGGTGTGATGTTTTTCCATCATTAGGGTCAATATCCATGCTGGATAATCTGCAGGACTTAAGTAAAACACATTGGTTTTGTTTCACAACAGTGCATATTAAATTTTTCCCAAGTTTAACCAGAATGTGCCTGCAAAGAGATCTTTTGTTTAAAACTTTAATGCCATGTTCTATTGAGCTGTGGCACTGACTGACAGATGGGTATTGTTGTGTTATAGTTACTGAAGCTAACTCAGAGGCTTTTTAAACATTTAAGCTGATCCAGTGGCTGCCAGCAGAGTCTGTGGCATGCTGTGTTTTGCAGGTGTATTTGCCTGCCGGTGTACATTCATTTAATACTAATATTACCTTTTGGTGTGGCACAGCACAAACATAGTCTCAGCCCCCACCCACTTTCTGCAGGCATGTTCCCAACCTGTCTGCACTCCTTATGGCTCCTCAGCATGACTACGTCTGATTGCACCATCACCAGCATTTATAGGCCCTTTTGCCCCAGGTTTCTGCACAGTTTGGTGAACATGAAAATGCAGATCCATGCTCACTGTTGGATGCATTAATGTTATTACATTAACATAGGCTTTTATCATGTTTCCAGCAAGTTGGAGGAAAGAAACGAGGATAAACCAGCGAGAGAGGAGCTTGAGCAGATTTATCATCTCCTGGAAAATACCAAATCATCTGTGGACTCCAACTCTCCTCAGAGCTTGACACCCATCCAAACAGCTGACAGGTCTGTGACCTTAAGTGTCCTACACATATCTCCTACCCTCACCTTTGTTGCTTCCTAATCTTCCCACTACCATAAAACCACGTATGGATATCCTAAAGGCAGCACATGGCTCAGATTACTGTACTGCAGTGTTGGGAGTCATATAAATTGTGTTTTATCTGGGATTTGCAGAGTTGCCTTCCTCATGGAGCTGGCTCTGCTGGCCTTGCAGTTGAAGCATCAGAAAGTGGCTGCCGACTGTTTGGAAGAGCTCAATTCTGCGGGAGAGGCTGTGAGTGTCCGATATTCTCCTTTAAACCTCAGGCAGCAGCTCAGCACCATGCTGTAACTGTACAGACTCTCAGAAACATGCAAATTTATGCAGAGAAGTTGACATCCCTCTTAAGTAGGCACTTGACAATAGATGAGATTAATTAGCTGAGCTCATGCCCAGGGGCTCAAGAGGTTGCTGATTACTTTCAGCAATGTAGAAGTTCTTTCATAGACAGGGATTACGCTCTTATATTCTTGGTGAGTTAAATGAGATGATAACATGTTTGGCAATGCTGCGTGTGCAAAAACCCCTTGCATGAAATATGAGATATGTATATCCTGTCTTCTTCATGTATCGTCAAACACTGACTCCCTAAATCACATGTGTGTTTCTCCTATTAGAGCAATGGCCAGCGCATAATAATGGAATGTGTCAAGTGTGAAATCAACGTTCTGAAGAAGGAAGCAAAGATGGATGACTATTCCAAAGCCAGTGTGGAGGTGCTCCATCATATGCCTGAGTTATCAGCCATGAGTTTCTGCTGGATGTTATAATGTGGGCAGCAGACCCATAAGTAGAGTCTGATTAACTGTCCAATAATATTTTTCTATAATCTCATTCTGTGTTTGAAGGCAGTAAATCAGACAGACAGACCAAACCCCCTACTTAACGTGTAGATGCCTTTGCCTTAAACAGCTGCAAACACATCTGGAAGCACATTACCAGTTTCTGATTACATTTCAACTGAATAAGTCTGACATGTTTTTATACCTCTGTACTGGTAACGGCCATGTCTGTTCAGGCTGTTTGTCCACTTTGTGTTTGAAAATGATGTAGACCATCTCAGGAAAGCTTTGAAGAATTCTAAATCTTCATCACCGAAGGACTGATAAAACTGTGGTAGTCAGAGGTCACCCCCAATCTTCCACAAGAGTTTGATCTTATGCTAGTTAAAGCACTTTCACATACAAATTATGAAGTATATTAATTAACAGCCACGTGTTGGTGGTAACATTCAGGAAGTTTCAGACTTCATACAAACTCTGTCTAGAGCTCAGGGATTTACTAATGAGGTTTTTTATATGCAAAAGTCCATGTTATTTGACCTCACGACTGTCAAGCTCTTGTAAGTGTGATATTTCAGCAGTTTGATAATCTTAAATTTAACTTTTCTCACCAGTCTGAGTGAACTGCAATTAATCACGATACAAATCCCCCCTTTCGTATTCCTCTTTAACCTGTTTGTGCTTCTGTGGAGAGAAAGGTCTAATGTCTCCTGTCCCAATTGACCTTGATGAGCTCGGTTTTGCTTTGCTTTAGGCTGAAAGTACTTCTGCTTTGGTGAAAATATTTTGAATGTTCAAATTTCTCCCTCCTCCTCCAACTCCAGCCTGAGTTATTCACTGTTGCAGGGTAATGGTTGTTAACGCTACTGGTTCATGTAGGCATACAACCACAATATAATACAAGAATTATATTTCCAAGAGAATTCGTTAAAGGAAGTGATTCTGGGATGATGTAAATTGTACATATTTTTTCCTCTGTCCACAAAAACCCTACAGAGAGAAGTGAAATCATGTAATCTAGTTTTGTATGACAACATATCTAGGTGGTATCTAACAACTAGCACCACATATTCAATCCAGTTTCTCCTGCCAAGTGATCATGGGGAGATTCTCAATCTGTAGTTTGTTATCCCCCAGGCCCGGCTGAAGGAGATAGGAAAATTGGATCAGTGGCTGCGGACTGCAGTAAGGGAGGGGGAGCCTCAGGCCATGCAGGTGGTTTGTGCAACCCAGTGGAGCCTCTGCTTGCCGCTCTTACAGCCCAACCTCAGGAAACACATCAAGAAAGCTTTGCTCAGGGTGTCCCAAGTACTGGAGGACACACAGAGGTTCCCAGCTTCTTATTCATTATGATATGTGCTTGTATGTGTATGCCTTAAGGCTCTTTTGGTTTTTCTCATAATGTTGTGTTAGCACTTCACTGCATATGTTTAGCTATGCTGGCTTGGTTTACAAAATATATATGTATATCTATACAGCCTATATGGCCTCATTCAATGTTAATGTCCAAAGTAGTGCTATTTTTGATACAAAGCAGTATATAATAACATGGTTCTGTAGGACTCGAGCTCCTTCTGTGTTTTGTTATAATATCGTTAATGAAGTCCTCATGGGTTTAGTGGTATTGCTGACTGTTGAAGGCTGATATCTATGCGCTCATTATTTCCTCATTTATTTATTTGATTCAGGTTTAAGTGAGATCAAAAGTCTCCATTATCCTCCAGAAAGCTTTTAGAATTAAAGCATGGTTCATTCCTTTTCTTAAAGTTGAATGAAATGTTAGATATTAGATAACAGGAAATGTCAGAAAGGCTCTGCCTCACAGTTTGCCATGTGCTTCTTTGTCACCATAAGCCATAGTTTCAATATGTTATAACTTTAAATGGTCTCTGAGCAAATCAATTAATGGAGAATATTTGGGTCAAATGTTAATTCAGGAATTTAATTTTATTTTATTTTATATTTTTTCTGGTACTTAAATCATTTCCATTCTTCTTGGATTTTTTTTTCTGTTAATGCTCATTTATTCTTTTTTTTTTTTTTTACCCAATTTTACAGAAACAAACTTAAGGCTTTTACAAATGACAGAACTAAAAATTAGAAACAATAATACATCAGAAGTAAAGACAACCTCTTCTTTTTAACATACTGGGACATACTGGATGTTATCGTGTGCACTTTCCACAGCATGATGTTGGAGATGCGCTGTCAGGTCCACTCAGAGCTGGCAGTGATTGAAGAGGAGGAGGGGCGCCTCCAGGCTGCTTTGACTCACCTCCAGAAAGCTTCTTTGCTGGATAACGGGACACAACGAGAACGCCTGTCATCAGCTCTCCACCTCCTGCATCTCCGAGGGATCCTCGACCAAACACCCCCCCGCTCAGAGGATAAAGCCGCTATGCTCATGCAGCAGGTTTTTAGCCTATCTTTGTCAGACAGTCTAATAATGTAGAATATTACTGTTCTTTTAAGCTGAACAAGGCAAGTCATTTATGCAAGACATATGGGGCTTATAAGTAGCAATTATCCTCAGGCTCTGTACAGGGGAAGAGCATCCCCACAGAGCGTGTAGATGTTGCTCGATCTGCTGCAGTGTAAAATGTAAGAGTCAGATCAGTCTGCCGTAGACAATACAAAAACTGGGCAAAGCCGCTGATATTAGTCCCATTAGACTGTAGCTATAAGGCCTCTAGATTTTTGGCATTTGTCTTCTTGGCTGTTTGGAGCCAGGGGTGACTATATTTTAAATCAGATGGCCCTATCTTGGGACTTAACAGCAGTGCTGTGGGAGCATACTCCGCTTTAGTGCCTTTTGACTTTGAATGGTGCCATACCTCACAAAAAACCCATCTCACTGTATCGAAAAAAAATAGATAAACTGGCTACTGAGAACATAAAATTGTGAGCAAAATATCAGCTTAAGTAATCCGTTCAGTAAAGATAAAGCTGATAAGTTTCCATACAATCAGAGTTCTATTGCAACTAGAGGAGCCTCACCATTCTGGCCCCTGAAAACAATGCTGGCATGAATCGATTATGCATTCGCTTTTCAGATCAGGGAGTTACTGTGCGCAGCTTTAATGACACCATTGAGCAGTTGGAGCAATATGTAAACTATAGGATACCAATTCAGTTTTTGCATTCTTCTGTAATTCACAGAGGAGAACAGATCTCTCTGCATGGTTTAAAGCCCTCTCTCTTTCAGGCCAAAGACTTGCAGCCCCAAGATAAGACCGATATTCGTCCAGTTCTGGTTGCTGTGGGTCTTCTTTTGGCTCCTGATGACTTCCAGATGGTGCTGGATGCAGACAACACTTCCAAAAGTAAAATCCAACTTCCTTGGTTGACTTTTTACACTCTTTGCATTGTTATGTCTTTGCGAAGACACAATCTGAGCTTATCGCCTGGTTTTGAACTTTATTTGTGTGAGTTGTGTCGTATTTTATTCAGGATATGTATACTAAAACTGCTTAACCAGATACTCAATCTGTTTTATCTTTAACTTTGTTCCATATGGAATCATCATAAACCCAAACTAGCTTTTCAAGTGCCACAGTATCCTTTTTTTTAAAGCAAAACAGCGAGAAATCAGAGAAGCATATTCAGGTTTCAGGGGAAGGCTTCTATGATTAAATGCACATCACACAAGCAGGATACGAGTGTGCATGTTACACACACACAACAGGATTTTCTGAACCCATATACGATTTGCACAGATTTCCTCTGGTAGAAAGAGCTTGAAACACACTTCTACATCTTTCTTGATGAGGAATCATACAATTCATTTAACCTCTGTAAAGGTTCACTGGCCTGGAATAATCTAGCCTACATACCTCTTATCTTGGGGTTCATTCTGCAGTCAGCTAAGTGCACTTCATTCTGCCATGCATCGACATTTAACAGAGGAATAAGAAAATATAGCTATTGAACAATATGGTGGCTATGACTGGTGGTTTGATATACAATCTAGATGAGCGGGTGACTACAGATGACATCAGAGTCATGATGTTATTGTCATGATGTTGTTTATCTTGTCATTACTGATCTTGTCTTTCCTCCTCTGAACATGCTGCTGGTCTCATTCTGCTCTGACTGTGGCAGCAGCTTTGAAATGCTGTATGTTTTTGTGTTTGTATTTGTTTTCTTTGAAGTTAATGAAATGAGTCATGATGGATGAATAAGATGTAAAGGCCAAAAGAAAATGAGTCATTACGAATTCTCAAAAAATAAGGATTTACCTGAAGTTTTCACAGCATATGAGAACATTTTGGGATTTTTAAAGTTTTTTGGTGGTTCTTCCAAAGTGGTGGCTTCGATATTATTTGAAGTTGAGAGCTTGGCGATCTCAGACTAATCCCGCTGATCAGAGCTCTCCTTCGCTGGCAGGATTCCCCTGGAAGGCAGTCCTCTGTGCTGACTGTGTAATGAGCTGCTGTCTCAGTAAAGCAGGCACTGATTACTCCCAGATTGAATGAATGTCACAGAGGAAAACTGATGGTCCTTGTTTGTTTCTAAATTTGTCCCTTGGTCTTCTTCATGTATGGAAAGAGGATCTCTCTGTGGCAATGTTAAACTTTGTTGCTAAGTGTTGTACAATTTCTCAGAGAATCAGCATGTAGCTCACAGTCAAAGCCTCATCGACTGAGTGCAGCGGATCATGGAGTAATAGAGCCTGAGCTCAGGGAGACACTTTGATCTGAGACTCATTCCAGACTCCTTATTCCTCAGCTTCAAATGAACATTCAGCTTTCCTAATGAAGCAGGGAAAAACTCACCCTGACAGCGAGTCAACTACTCCTTCTGCAGGCACGGGTCAAAAGCTTTGGTCTCTGGAGACTTTTTTTTCTTGTTTTGGTCCATGAACCTTAAGCTTCCCCCAGAGGATGTCGCTTAAGCTCTGTGTTCTGAGGTTCAAAGCCAGAACAGCAGGTGTCTCTTGAGACTAGAAGAAATGGGAAATTGCTTGCCACGAGTTTGTATTGTTGCTGAATTCTTTATCAATAAGAGGTCTGTGAAGGCAAATGTGTGTTTGAACTTTCAGGGTAAGCAGACAGGCACCAGGGACCACTGCGGTCAATGCCACAGACCATGGTTTCAAATCTGGCTTATGAAACTGATGCTTGGTTACTGTTATTGGTGCAGATGTGTCTGAAAGGAAATCTGTGTCTGCAGATGGAAATATGATTGTGTAGATTTTTTCTGTTTGTTAATGATTTAATATAATTGGGGAGGAGTATTTGTTTGAGTTGAGGATCTGTCGTTCCCTTTTTTATTTATTTATTTATTATTATTATTATTATTATTGTATTAACCTACTGTTTCCCAACAATTTACCCATGCTTGTGTAAAGGTAATATGCAGGACACATACTAGGAATAAGAATACATCAGCTTAGTTTTTAGTCTTCCATGCCACCAAAAAAAAGTGAGAAGTAGTAAGAAGTTCATGCTGTTCAGAGAAAAAGAGAGAGATAAAGTAAAAAAGTAGAGTCATCTGGTATTTCATCTCTTTTATGCCCCCTCATTGCCTCATTGAGGTCAACTTCTTCTGGTTACTCTAAGCCATCATGTTTTGAGGCAAATTTACACTACTATTCTGTTATTGTTCTGTGAAAAACACTGACATATGCAAGCTGCAACTTAGCTGCTTAGTGGTGTTGTATGACTAAGAGACAGTAAATTCAGTTTGTTTTTCTTTTCAGTTTTTAGTCTTACATTTTAATCGGATTAAACTGCATTCAGTTACATCCTCCTCTGAAAGAGTTGGCACTGTTGGAAATGGGCCATTTAGTCTTGTAGTCCCTAAGTTGTGTTTCCTTTGCTTGCATAGAGATGCCAAACTGTAATAGGAGTCATTATGTAACAGGCTCACTTTGCATATGAGTGCACATTTATTTCACTGTTCTTTGAATTATAAACGTAGTCATTTAGGCCTTAGGAGTTGTGCAACAGAGTGCCAGTACTGTTTGTTCTGCAAGCCAGCTGAAAAAGTGTATTGGTTCATTATTTAAAGAAAATGTTGAAGCTTTTCCAACATTATTGGTGTAGTTTTATTCAGTTTTCCAACAATTATCTAGTTCCCGATGGCAATCCTGGATCTGGACCAGCTGCTCAGCTTTCTGCTAAGGCTCAGCATCACTCTGCATCCATACAGAAGGTGGGGGGATACTTGGCCAGAGAGGGGGACGACGTGGACAACATAGAGAGGTGTGTGGATGTATGAACTATGACCATGATTGCAGTGTGTGTAACAGAAGTTTTTTTGCCACTGTTAAAGTTTTCTTAGTACATATTTTCAGCTGTCTGACTTCCCAGAAGCACAGTTCAAACTGGCTCAGTAATCAGCTGTTAATGCCTTGTTAAATTTATGACTCCTTGCTTTTACTGAACATTAGATACTAATGAAAGCAGGCTGTACTACTCCCCTTTGCACTCAGAGATGTTGTGTGACTGCTGGAGTCTGCTACTTTCAATTGCATCTTTTTTTTTTTGTAACTCACAGTTTAGTTTCCCCTGTCTCCTATTATGATGCCAGTAAAAAGTTTTCACATCACAGAGGGCTTAATGGTCAGGAGAGTGCAGGGCCATCGAGGACCAGAGGATTCCTTAAAGGAAATTATTCACGGCTCTGCAAACAAACAACCTCAGATCATGAAGAGAGCACTGCTGCGCCCTTGCCCTGACCTCCATCTTTAAGAGGAATCACTTTTCGTATTTCTTGGCCGTAACAGGATGAAGTTGTGGGCGACACTGGTGCAGACAGCAAGAAAACAGGAAGTTTGGGATGTGTGCCGAGCTGCTTGTCGATTCTGCTTGCTGTACGATGACGGCAGATGGAAGATTTCCAAGACTGACAGTAAGATGATGAATGACTCTCAGGCTGACGGTAAAATAACAAAAGTATTCCTGTGGCTTTGGAGAGAGGAACATCAGAGCAAACTAAAGGAGACCACTGGTCTAGATGTATAACCATGGCTTCATCCTAGCTCACTTTACATTTTGAAGTCTTTTCATATTGTAACAGAATAACATTAGGTGTGATTTGGTTCCAGCAGTAAGGATTGTGCAGATATGTTTAGTTATAAAAGTTTTATAAAGAATAGACAACCAATATCTGTCATCTGAAGGACTCATATATCATTTTGATGCAGAATGTTGCTGCTCTGGAGAGGAGAGCTGTACAGAATGTCCCCACAGAGGAGCAGGGGACCAGAGGAATCGAAGGGACTTGCTGCGCCTGTTGGCTGAAATCCATTTCATCAGTGCAGAGGTGTGTGCTGACAAGCTTCTACCACATACACCCATCTCTGAACATTGCGGTTTGATAGGAACTTTGTTGCACAATACACTGCCAAGACATGATCTGCAAATAAATTCAATTGTGATTATTTAGTTCTGTAATCCCATTAGGTCCTACAAATGCTCTAAGAGCTGTATGTTAGCAATTCTTTCCATCAATGCAGCTGAAAAATGTCGGGATTGTTATGTAGTGTCAGACTTTATTTGTATAGCATTTTTTATACAAGGATGCAGTACAAAGTGCTTTACATAAATAGATAATCATTACAATAATTTAAAACCCAGAATCATGACAATTTTAAGTTTTAAAGCATGGTAGACAAGTAAAAGAAAAAATTAATAATGATAAAAAATACAAAATAAATAAAATGACGTAATAAAAAGTGTCATAAAACACTAAAATCTAAACAAACAAGGAAACATACCATCAAAAGAATACTAGAAATGTGAATAAACAACTCAAGGATAAAAAGCTAGAAAGTAAGACAAAATAAAAAAAAAATAGGAATGAATAGGATTAAAATCAGTATGAAATATTAAAACTTGGAAAAATATAAACAGAAGTGAATAGTAAATTCAGTTAAAAGCCAAACTAAAACGGAAGATTTTACGTTTTCTTTTAAAGATATGGAGAGTCTGTTCCATCTCTGTTCATATTCCCTGTAGCAAGTTCCTCTCCTGAACATCCTGAACAGCAGCGGATATTTATTTTAGACTACAGGACTTCTGTCATGACATTTTAAGGTGATAATGTGTGTTTTGCATTTTTTTAAAATTCTACCGAGGAAGTTTGATACTCTTTGCGTTTGAGAGCACCCCTTATGTCTTCCTTCATAAAACAGTACAGATGAGTTTCTCTGAGCCGTAGTGAGGCTCACAAGTTTTAATGCAGCAACCAATACTTGCCTGGCAACAATATTTCATAACTTATCATTTATCTCCTTCTACAGACAGATAAGCTTCTATTATGCAACTCAGACTAAATTGTGAAGTATATTACTTTTTAGATAAGAGGCATTATTGAGGTCACGCTGTTCCCTTGGAGTATTATATTAAACTATTTTACTATGGCTTATTACAGCTCCCACACACACAGTGTTAGAACTCTGCCATCTGGCATTGACTAATGGTTTGTCTCCTGCTGACAGTAAAGAAGTGTGCCAAAAGGGCAAAACAAGTGAGAATCCTGTGATCTTGAGGCCTTTAAGAAGTACTTTGGCAATCCTGTCTAGAGAAATCATTGATTGAATTGTTTAATCCTGCCGAAGAAAGATTTCAAAAAGCCTCATATTTTTTCATTTGGTTTCGTAATACTTTGCTGTTGCCATCTGCTGCTTGAATTAGGGTTCAAATTAGTCATGGTGCACATTTTTGGCATCGTATGATAGATAACACTGGTAAATTTCAGGCACAGCCCAACTACCCAAAGGGGCTGGAAATGAGAGTTTTTCAGCTAATTTGAACTTTCTTTTGACAGCATGAAAGAATAAGAACAAAGAATGTAATTCTTTGAACCAGCTTGATGGGAAATATTATGGAAATAATTGATTAAAATGCACATAATTTATCAAGAGCAGTGGAATGATTACGTTCACATTTTACTTTTCTTTTGTGCCAAGATTTTTTGGGAGCAGATATATTTTTACTAAGGTGTTCATGTTGACAAGAAATATTTGAAGTCTCTTAGATCATAAAATAATAACATTTGTTTATTTTAGCTTGAGCTTTCCTTTTGAAATATGAGATCAGGAACAAAGACATCTCACAGTGGAAGGCATGTATTAAGGGAGTTTGAAGAAGCCCGTGAGGTAGATGTTGATTGGCTGAAGTCACAGACTGTTGTGCTTGTCTTATGAGCTTGTCTTCTTGTGTAATCCCACTTCTCATCAAGCCTGAAGCTCCAGGTCTTTATTAGGTCCACAGAGATGCTCACTTGACAGCCCTTTGAAGAAAATGGAGACAAGTATCCTTCGTAGTCACATGACCTTTCCAAAACTGACTCACACTGTAGCCTCACAGCTTGCTCCTCTTATGTCTCTTTCTTTGTTCCACGACACGTGGTCATATTTTCTTCTAGGAACACGTTATTATCCATTAATCTGAATGATTAATGACATCTCAGTCTGATAATGAAGACAGGTTCTTCTTGTCTCACCTGAGATTTCTGCCACTGGAAGCACTCAGCAGTCTTTTCTTCTTCTTTGATCTGCCACAGCTGAGCTTTGACAGCTCAGGAGAAGCTGTCTCTCCCATAGCAGGAGGTCTCCATTCTTTTATAGTGAAGTGACCCAGAACAGGAAGAACAGGAAGTCAGCTCTGATATTGTCATGTTCTTGCTTCACTCAGGCCACCATCCAGAAGCTGCAGACAGAGGGGGAGAAGCTGAACAGCCCTCCTGTCCCTGCAGAGGACAGAGAGGAATGTATGTCTGAGGCAGATGAGGACTGGGTTGTGTACAGGTGAAAACACAACATGCACACACTCACATGCCTGCATATAATAAAAAAAATAAGGCTATCCCTCTAAAGTTGGACAGCTTTTGTTTTTGTTATAAAATTTAAAATGAGAAACTCTATTTGCATTAAAGTTTCAAGCTCAAATTTTACCGATCAGCCAACATTTGGCCATTCTAAAAAAGTGACACACACAGTATAACAGTTTATCCTTTTTGAAAAACATTTTATTTTTTGAAAAACAATCGATTTTATTTGATTAAAAGTATATATTATTTACACTTTACAGAACCATCTAGATAACATCAGATTCTATGTTGTTTGTTTTTTTTGTAATATTTTGTAGCTGATTGACAAAAAAAAAACTTTCAGGAATCAACCCGTGCGCTGATTGTCAGGTGCCAGTCGGCAACAGTTCCAAAGTAACCAAAGAAGAAAAGATCTGCCGCACACTTTGGCGGATGTTTATTCTTAAGGAGATCATTAATGTGGCGGCTGAAACCAAGAAGTCACAGACTGATCAAAAAACACTGTCTCCAACAAGGATGATACATCCTTTGCTGTTCAAATTAATCACTATGATCATTAATATCATCATAATAATCTGTCACAATCTAATGGGAATTATGTTAACCATTACAATCTATTTCAACCCTTATGTTCATAATAAGAATTATTGCAAACACTAATCCTAAAAATGGTGAAATATTTTGAACAGATAGTGAAACACATTAGTCTACATTCTTTATAATTGATTACTCTAAATTGCCTTTCCACCATCACAAGTTGTGTATAATGAGGCGACTGAATGCCTCATTAGTTTTGACCCATTTAGATGGGGTTCATCGTCTCCCAGTTCATAATGCAGGAAATCCTACTAGTTAGTTTTAATTATTAGCTGAATTTATTCATGCAAATGAATATATGTAGTATAATTTTACACTTTCTCTGACCTTTTAACCTCCTGTTAATTGTACACGGGAAGCAACACCATGTGGATACAAAGCACACTCACCCCCTCCCTCTCCTTCTCTCTACTGTTTATCTCTCCTTTAGAAACTGGATTCAAACTCTGTCTACCGACGCCACCTCCAGCTTCTTGCGGGGAGCAGAGCTCGGAGCAGAGATCAGAGAGCCGTGGGTGATAACCAATGCTGCCATTTACCTTTGGAACCACAGCAGCCACCTGTTGGCAGCTGGAGAGTACAAACGCCTGCTCCCAACTTTCCAAACTCTGGTGGAGATGCTTCAGGAGACAGAGTGCACTGGGTGGGTTAGGTGGCTACATAAACATTAGTTTTTTGAAGAGGTAGAACAGTTTTGGTTTTTGAACTAAACTTTTTGCAAGTTTTAATTTAACCAGAGTTCAATGGGGGTGAAGCTGCTCAACTCATTATGAAACATTTTTTTGGTACCTGTGTGTCTTTCAAGTGTGAACTCAGAACTATCATCACGCAATGTTAACCGTCTTGAAACCAAAACCATACTTTTGCTGGTTTTTGATAAATTGCTTTAGAACTAAAACATCACTTAGTAGGTTCACTCTAGAGGTACGTGTTGCATGGTACTTTTTGGTTTTAAAAAAGTTGTCAAAAAATGTCTCATTAATAAACATGCACTCCTACCAATATCAAGCAAAATTACTGAACGAACCTTTTGTTTTGTGCAAGATAACACACATGGTCAATCTACTGTAGTACATTTGCCTGAATAAATGAAAGAATAGCTTATTGCTAGTCAAAAGAGCTCTAAAATAAGTCTTGTTGGAGTTGGTGAAGATATGTTAGAAATATGTTTAAAGTAAAATGTTAACTTCGAATGCCAATGAAAAAGGTCTAGAGTTTATGAATTTTAAAGCCTGAGTTCTACTTTTGTTTTGCACAGCTTGATAAAATATGAGAATTTGGGGGAATGTTCTTCTTTCTAGGCTTCTGTCTTTGGCGTGGTCAAGAAACATTACTACATTTGTTAAAAAAAATAAATATCTGGTTGTTTGAATTTAAGTGATGTGCATGTACAATGATTCAGTTAAGTAATACACCTTAACAATTTAGATTTTTTTCTTTTTAACTTTCCAAATGAACCCTAGTAGCGAGACAAAGATGTTTGGTCTTTAAGCCAAACTTCCAATCTTTGTTGTTCCAGATTTGTTTTAAGCACTTTTGGTTTTGTACCTCTCAGGAGTCGGGCTCTGTTGGTGCTTTTGTGTGATGCTGTAGCCCAAGGTTTGATCCAGCCTCTTTATGGACCTGGCAGTGTTGAGTCAGCTCCACCAGCAGAGAAGAGCAGCAAAAAAAGAGTTGAGAAGAGAATGGAGAAGGCTTCCAGCGCACAAGGTGGTTACTTGGACCCTGGTGCTCTGCAGGAGGTGCATAAGGCTTTAGAGGTATGCAAATGTGTTTAAGTAGGAGTGGGTTTGGGCAACAACACTGTTAGGGTGGCAGGTGTGACTCACTAACAACATTAGTTCATGTGATTCTTTTTCCACCACCATCAACATAAAACTTGGAAAAGTGCTTAAAATTATTTTACATGGTGCAGCCACAAACTCCCCATAATAAAACAAATCTGTATATTAAAGATAAAAAGTTCTATAACAAGACAAACCACCTTTTCTGGTAAGTTCAGTTTCAGTTTTTGAGCTTTTTTAAACTGAGGAAATAAAATTTAAATTCAAATTCAGGGTTAACAGCACATCACAATCTTAAATAACAGTTGCATACACTGTAAGTAGACTGTGATTGGAGCGTAAGAATATTTAGAGCTTGCAGTCTTTGAAATCTTCAAAATCTTACCTTTTGATCTTGGGTTCAGATTTTATGCTTCTAGTATTATTGGTTTCCACTTTATCAACTCTGAATGTTTTAAACTTTTAAAGTATTTATTTAACCCTTTCAACTATTCTAACCCAGGATAAAGAATCATCACAGATGTCAGAATCATACAGACACTAAAAAGTCTTACTAAGAAAATGAAAAACACATTTTATTTCATTTTGGATCAAACATTTTTTCAGCCTGTGAAAAATGAAATAGAAAAGTAATCTTCTGCTGGCCTCTGTATGCACCAGATAAGTCAACAAGCAAATTGATAAGGTGCAAACTGTTGCAGACTGATTTAAATGCATCATTGATGCAATGATTTTCTCTCATTTTTCATTCTGTGGGTCTGTTTGTGCTCAAGCAACATAATCAGGCACTAAGACAATAGACAAAAAGCCTGGCCTGTGGCATTTCTGTCACATTTTAAAAAGAAATAATCCTCTTAGCTCTGAGAGCATGTTAGCTCAAATTAGTTTTATTTCGGTCTAAATTTGGAAGTCTCACATCAAAGCTTCTCTTTCGATATTCTGAGCAGCCATAACATAATGACCAGCTGCCTCATGTTGTGTTAGCCTCCCCTCGCCAGATCAGGGCCAAAACAGCCCTGACCTAATAAGACCTGGGATTCACCAGACCTCTAAAGGTGTGCCATAGTTTCTGGAAACAACATGTTAGTAGCAGATACATTAAGTCCTGAAAGTTATGATGTGGGACCTTAATAGGTCGAACTTGATTCCTCAAATCTCAACCCAACGTGTCAACACCTTGCAGTCTTGATCATGCTCCTTTGGATCACCTCCTTCTACTGCCACTGTCAGGTCTGATGGTCACCTGTTTATTTTAGGAGCTCATGATGTCAGACAGGGATCAGTACAGGCAGCCTGACTGGTCTGAGGGTATGAAGCTCCATACCTGACAACCAGAACCAGCATTAACCTTTTCAGCTTGACTTTCAGTAGCTCTCCTGTTTGACCCAGCTCCACACAGTGCAGCTTTCACTCCCCACAAGTATCAGTGAGCCTTGGCTGCCTACGACTCTTTTGTTAGTTCGCCAGTTCCTTGGGCCTCTTTTGTTTTGCACCAACCGTTACAGACAAAGAACTACCCACAAAAGCTGCAGTTTTGGAGATGCTTTGACATCATCCTCTACCCATCACTTTTTTTTTTTTTCTGCTTCCAAGACATCAACCTTGTGGGCAAGGACATGATGCTCATGGCCTGACCTTTTCTACCCACTGCCATGTTAAGAGAGATTGATTGATCACGTTACTTGTCCGTAGTTTAGAGTAATTTATCAGTTTATTTGACAGGGACCATGCACGACGCAATCACTGAACCAGTGTAGGCGATAACACTAATTCATGTTTATGGTCTCTGTCAGGAAGGTCCAAAATCCCACAGTACAAACAACTAAAAAAAAAACAACAGAAATCAAACAGCTAAAAACAATGTATAACATTTTCCATAAGACTGTTACATACTGTTTACAAAGGTTTAATCAACAATCACATGAGCCATGATTTCTGTTTGTTTTTAAGGCACCTAAACTTACAGTCAGCGATTTTTGGCTGAACTGAGCTCCACTTCTCTGCTTTAACTACTCATAGTTCAATGGCGTACGAATACTCAGTACTAGTTATGATGAGGCAATCCAAGATTACACCTTGACTAAACTAAATTATGAATAAAATTAAAACAACTATGTATTCTAATTGGATACAGCATTCTGTTTGACGTGCCAGTGAGCTTTACAGTGCTGCTCTAAAGCTGTTGGTAGGTGTATTCATTTTTTCACTTATGCCGTCAAATTTTATTTTATTTTTCTTTATGTTTCCGTTTTGTCTGATATCTACTGCTGATCAAATTGCCTTTGGGATGATACTTAAATGGAGGGCGCGTGGAAAGAGACCGTTGTGTATTGCTATCGTGTGGTCGTTACTAAAGTTGGTGTAACTAGAGGAGCAAGTGGTTGGCAACATTTATCTCTTGAGGAGGTGTCTAACTTGGTGTTACAGTATGTTTGACCCCAACTTAATTTTACACCAGAATATCCCTTTAAAGCTCCTTTGGTGAAATTTACTTTTGTGATGATTTTGATGCCCCCTGTATCTTTTATGTCTTTGTTTGCTTCGTCCTGCACAAGTTTATGTCATGTCTTTTTTAAACAAAAGAAATCTTTTTCAGGCTTTAATTACCCACCATGATATATCATTCATAATGAATATTTGCTGTAGATGCAAATTGAAAAAGGCTGTTCTTCACCATGCTCTAAGCTACATTGTCTGACACAAATCCCCATGCATCAAATTTGACCATATAGAAATGTTTTATTTAAATGCTGTTGTTTGTTGTTGTAGGAGGCCAAAGTATTAATTTTAGTTTGTGTAAGATAAAAATCCTTACAGGAAATATAAAATAATTCCCAACTAAGATTGACTGTGTTAATAACTTTGAACATGAAGCATAGCTTTCATGCTTGAAACACTTGATTTGCATTAAGTGAAACAAGGATATCAACTGTGATATGTTAATCTCCTCAAATAGTCAAGTACCAACGCCGGATTAACCGTATAGGCAACCAGGCAACTGCCCAAGGGCCCGCGACCGTTAAAGGGCCCTGGGCCATGAGGGCACGATCAAATGTTGTTGTCTCTCATTTATAATAAAATAATCTGCTGGTGTTCTGTCGAGCTTTGCTACATTGCGCTGCACAGCGCTGGCCTGTGACTGTGACCGTGAGTTGAGACGCTCTCCGCCTTATGGCGGGTCAAAGGTACCGCCAATCAGCGTGCACTGAACGGGTTGCGTGAGCACCACTCTACACTACCCAGAAAAAATGAACATGTAGAAGCTAAGTGGGAGCGCTAAATGGTAATTAAAAAAGGAGAAGGATATCAGAAATGCATAAATTTTAAAGACTACACCAAAAATAGGTACTTTCTTCAGTCACGTTAACATTACGAACTGTACCAAGGCAGCTTCCGTCGACAAGGGCAGCTCAGCTAGCTAGGACATTTCTTCCCTGCCGGCGCTAGCTAAATGCTCACAGCCCGGAGAGCGAAGACCCGCTGGCAGCAATTTTAACCAATGGTCCGGACTCTGCTGTGAGTGCGATGGTCGAAGGAAGCGGTGATGGGTCCCGAGTCTCAGAGACCCTTGTTGTGTCTGCAAGTCGCCCTTTTACCCCTGTCCTCACTGGAGATCCTGCACTGTGTGGGCACGTTACGGAGCAGCTCCAGGAAGAAGCAATCAACTGAGGGCTGGCAGCTTTCCAGAACCAGGCGTATCCAGCATCGGCAAGAGAGTCCAGCCTTGGGAGTAGGACACGCTCCCTCACCAACGATTTGCTTCACTGCTGTTTCCCAAACAACCAAATTGTGCCAAGGGAATGTCTTCTTTATTCGCTATCAACTGGAACCATTTATTGCCTGCAAACTCCTGTCTCCTCAAAACCTGTACTGGACCAGTACAGTTTTTTTATATCATACTGCAAATATCATCAGTCTTGGAGGTTTGCAAGAACAGTCAAAAATCAGAGTCAGATTCACATGTATTGTCAAAGTAAAACTTATTTGACAGGTTGAAGAGAAGAATCTGCATTTGTAAACTTGATACTGAAAGCCCCATTCATGTTTGTTGCGTAGTTATAACCAATGATTCTTCCTAGATATATCACAACAGCTATTCAAGCATCAAAAATGAAAAGCTGCAAGTCTTTCAGAACCCATTTTGTCATCCTGTTCTATTGTCATACATGATAAAAACACACATACACACTCACATGTAGCACGCCTTTGTACCACTGAATCTGATGTCTATGTTCTCTATGCCACAGCTGCCAATTAAAAACAGTTTTCTTTCTCCATTCTCTATTCAAAGGATCTGCCATGAATATCAGCTTTTATTCTAGATGAAAGACTCTATCAGTGAATTATTAACCAAATTCTATCATGTCAGTTCCCCTTTTTTGAAGGAAAGATAAAAAATGATCCTCTGTGATACATATCTTTTAAAAAAGTCTATGGTTCAGCAGGGTCAGATACAGTGTCTGACTGACAAAGTCTCACTGAATTTCTTTTGCAGCTTACATGCTAATAAAAGGCCTGAGGCTACCGAAGGTCCAGAGAGTGCACAGTCAAACAGAAACATATCATGTTGTATCAAACAGTCATGCCTGAGCTACTTTGATCCACACTGACATTTAAATATCATAAGGGAATGCATTATCCTGATAATCTGAACATTGTGTTCTAATTATTGTACCAAAATTTCTCATAGAATTGTACTGTACTGTCCACTTTGACCTGCTTGAGTGCAAACTCAGTTTTCGTTTTCTAACTCTGTTCTAGCTGTGTGAATATGCCTTACGTTTATCAAATGGCAATAACTCAGGAGAGATGGTCCCCATGGCAGTGAGGAAGCAGGTGGTGTCAACATGGGTGCAGATCAAGAGGCTTCTGCAACAGCAGATCGGCTCAAATATTGACACCAAAGATGAGGTAATTCTTCTTTGTCTATGGTGCTTCATTTTTATTTGCTTGCCTGTTTTTAGGCCTGCATGATTTATGGACTAACAGTGTGAAAAATCTAATGTAACGGTAATATTTCTGTATTGATAAGTGCTGACATTTATATGCACATATAAATTTCTAATACTGCAAGACAGATCATGAATTCACTTAAGAGTTAGGATAATGAACAGTCACTTGAGTTTTCTCCTGCACATATTTAAAGCTGTATCTTCCTCAAAATACTGTGGTGAGGAGTGTTTTTTTTATCTAGAAAGAAACATACAATCACAGTAATGCCTCTTAATGACCTACAAAAGCAAACTAGAGCCTCAGGTACAAGATAAACAATTTCTTTACTTTGACTTTGAAAGCCTGAAACTGCTGCAAGAGGGCAGGCATCAGACAGGGTGATAGAGGGCACCCTGAAAGCCCAACCTTTTTTACATATTTCACTGCAAATATTCACAGCTAATGAAAAGATTGTTTTGGGACAGTGAGATGAGTTTTTTGGTCAGAAAACAGGACTTGCGATTATATGGAACCAGATGAGCAAAGAGATAGAGGGTAGGAGGGATGGGGCATCTCATTTGTTATGGAAAGTTTCTAAGAAGAGCTTTAAGGAAAAGTAATGGAAAATGGTGAAGACACTGAGCAAGATAAGCAGCTTTTTTGATGCAAAGTATAGAAATGAAAACATTTAGCAATAACCAGCAGTCAGATTCACACAAGACCACACTGTTTGTCTGCTGTGCATAACCTTACAAAAGATTTGTGAAAGAGGGAGTATGAGTGAGTCGTGTTTTATTTACATAAAGGCTTTTTAATTTATTTATTTATTCATTTATTTTTTAGGTTTGCTGTGTTACTTTTCTTAACTGTTGTTTATGTAATTACTTATTCAACACATTTGCTTTCAGGTCAGATATGTCACCTGTATGTGTTTTGACCGCTTTACCTCCCTGCTCTTAAGGAATGTACAGTATAAGCAAGCTAGCAGTTTGCTTAGCAACACAGGAGTTACACTTAAGGTGTAAATATTTCATATTAGCCAATCCCTGTGTTGGAAGTCGTTTGTGCTTTGCAGCCTGTTTAAATCTAGTGATGCAGAAAACTTTTCATAGGAAACATGTATGTTAGAATGAGGGTTTAAGTTATTTATGCTCTAAAAGTTACCTACCTTGTTATAATAATGATGATAATAGATCAGGTGTAATATCTGCACAGGATCCAACATTTCATTTACTTATACATTCAGCCGCACTCACGCATCTGAGTGTTTAGTCAGCTCATTGCCAGATGGAATAAACAGACCTGAGATGTAAAATCATCTGTCCATAGATCCAAATGTGGGGATAAGTGCAAACTATACCTTCTTCAAGTATGTATGCATACAGTGTGTGTAACGCTTCCAACAAGCCACAGAGGATGCTCAGTGGTACATGTTGTCAGTGTATATTTAGTGATCCACTGAGAAAAACGTCTGGAGAGAAGGCTACTTAATCTACACACAACAATTTTACAAACAAAAAAACCCACAAACATTAGGCCTAGCATAATAAATGTTACAATCCACAAAGAAAGGACCATTGGCAGGTCTTCTGCTCCACTGAATGTTGATGAAATCCCACAATGTTGATAAGGATCACCTCTAGAAACTTGGACAAATCTCCATAGACATCCCCACCTTTTATTCACACACCTCAAAGCTGCTTCTTCAAAGCTGCAAACTCCAAAGTTTTGTACTTCTTTGTGTGTGGATGTCCACAGTGAATGAGCCGATAAGAAACACATTTCTCTTAAGACTTCAACTCACTCTGAAACCTCATTTTCTTGGAAGAAACTTGATTGAAAATGTAGTAAGAAGGAGAGTAACAGGATGAATCTAAACTCAGAGTGAGTTTAATGATTTGCAAACCTGAATCACTTTAAAAGGTTAAAGAGAACTTTGCGAAAAAGGACCAGAAGAAGTTCTTCTCCAGCCAGTGATTCTTCATTTTGATATATATTTTCTTTTATTAAAACTGTAAATGGAAGTGGGAATTGTAGTTGTATACCATCCATCACCAATGCCACCAGATGGCTAGTGAATCAAACTTTAATTCCAAAATAAAGCAGGTTGGAGGAACCTTACCCCAGGGGTAGGGTAACTTTCCAGATCTGGTTTAACAAATGACACTGTTTTCCCTGCCATCGTACTGGCTTCCATGAGCCCTGATCTGGCCGTGTTCACTTAAAAACAAAATAGTCTGTTGTCTGCTTGCCTTGCCCAGAGTTTATTCCTTTGCAGCCCCCAACACTATATCACCATCCCAACCATATTACTCTGACATCCTCTCTTTGGTAATCTATAGCTCTTGTACTGATGGTTCAAAAAACAAACTCTTGGTCTAAGTGCTGACTGAGCTAACTGTGAATTAGAGGGTTCAAAAAGATGAGCATGATAAAATCAGAGGGAAAAAAGAAAATATATCTGACATAAAATATGATCTACTTTCACCACAATCAGTTCAGAGTCCTATAGTTTTGTTTTTTTCAGTAACCAATGAGACCCTACATCTAATATGACTCAATAGGTGACTTTTGACGAGGAGACTCCAGGCAAATAATACGTCCAAATAGGATATTTGGAAATGAAGTTACTAGCACAGATCTTTATTTCAAGTCTGTGCTGAATTTCTTTACAAAAAAGTCACAACAAATTACGTTGGCAGCAGAAAGCCACCGTGACAGTGCACCTGTACAAGTAAAAGAACGGTGTATGACCCTCAGCCTGATGTCATTGTTTTTTCTAGTTTAAATATTATTCTTCCGAAAGATATGTCGCTGACTTTAATATACGTGAAATGTCAAAATATTAAAGTACATCACAGGGGTCAAGCCTCAAAATGTCACTAATGCAGCTTGAGCTATTATCTCTACTCCCTTTCATTCAAAGTTTGCAATATGGCTTTAAAACAGAAGTAGAACTTCAAGAAAATCTTTTTTTTTATCACTGCAATAAACTCTGAAAACCCTCCAGCATTTCAAAGCTAATAATAATTTCAATTCCTTCTATTCTGTTTAACTATATTACTTAGATTGTCTATTCTACATTAACTATATATAAGCTGGAAAAAGGCTTCCGGGATTGTCTTTGTGGCTTTGTGGCTGATGTGAAAATGTATACTATGATTTCTGAGACATCTATATAGCTCACAATCACAACAGAGCAATGATTGTTTCATAATGTATTTGGTATGACTGTGTCTTCTCAGTTCCACTATAATGCTCTTATATTGTCGTGGGTTTGACGTTTCTATTTATCTTGTTAATGTGGTAGGTGGTACCTCTGTCATTTCCACATCACAGCATTGTTTCCGTTGGTCTGTGTCGACTTGGTGTCACACACAGCCTGATTGTGTTGCTTTTCAGTGGGATGAAGATGTTGGAGTAAAACACTAACACAATTCTTCACTTTAAACAGAATGTATGATTAGTCACAGTAATCCTACGACCATTTGTCAGTCAGGAATTTGCTGCCCTATATTAGTTTGAGTCACAGTTAAATGAGGTTTGTTTCCTGCAATGCAAATTAAAAAATGCAGTGTTAATACAAATGGGGTTCATCTCTGATCTCCATAAATCATTCATCAACTCATTTTCCTCACAATGGGGAGTCATGCATTATCAACAAGGTCATCTCTACTGTATTTGGGACACATACCATATGATAATCATCCTGCGGGTCCATGGGTGATGATCAATGTTTAATTTATAGGCAAATAGTAATACATGTATGTACTGTATGTGTTCTATAATTAATAGTAAGGGATTGGTGCATGCTAAACAGAGGACTGAACTAAAATACTCACCATGTGTTCTTCCGTTTTTTTCCAGTGTGAGAACGAGGAAGTGTCAGCAATGACACGCGTGCTGGTTGGAGTGGAGATGTTTCTGTGCAACAGAAACCCGAGACATATGGAGTTTTCTGTTCCCACTCTTTCCACAGTATGTAAACCTCCATGTTTTCATACAGTAGCTGTTGCCCAGATGGCAAAAACAGATGCCAATGTGACCCACAAGTGACCCAGCGCCTGTCTGCATCTTATCATTTGTCAATATTATACAGTTTCTGCCTTAATTAACACGCTTAGGGTTAATCACAGTTTTCAGAGATTTTCTACATGAGAAGTTCTGGGCATTTTTGTGCTCTTAAACCAGCATTGATCTATCCGCCCCAACTGTATATGAACCAGAATATTTAAATGATGGTGATTTCTGTAAATTTGGTTTTCCACAATTCTAATTTTGCTTCATTTACTAATCCCTCTAATTATGTGGTGCCAAATTTTATTTTACCTCCACTGTCAGTCTGCTTTCTGTCCAAACTCTCCATAGCATATACAAGTTAAATACCTAAAACCTTATTTAAATACTTAAAAAAAAAACAAGTGGGTGAGTGCAGCATGGGGTGAAGTACCCGTGAAGGATCAGGCGCTCTTCAGGAAGACAAACAATGTCTAATGAAGCATGAGAGCAGGGACTTCCCTGTCAGGTGTTGATAAAAGTCCATAGGCTTTACATATGATGTGAAATGTATTTCACACTACCCTGACACAATAAAGGATTTTTAACTTTATCAGAGTGCCTCAGACCTCTAGCTTTGATTTCCATCCATACCATGGACTTTTATTAACACCTGATAGGCAAACCAATGCTCTCGTGCTTTACTAATTTAAATACCACTGTATTCAAATTATAAGTATTGATTTGATGTTGATTTTACTGATTTAAAAACAATTTCAGATTTAGAGCTCCCCCTACAGGCTGGCTACAGTACAGGCCATTCACCTCTCTTTTCCTGTTTTAATCGATAGACCCTCAGTCTGTCTATTTATAATTATCAGGCTATGAAACTGAAATGCAAGGTTAAGCATGGTTTCTTTCATTGTTAGTTCTCAACAGGCTCATTTATGTCTGAGTTAGTCATGGATTTAAGAAAGCTGATTGATTGAGTTAACTAATTGGGCTCCTGCAGTGTGTTTCCAGATAAGCAGAATAGAGGTGCAGCAGTGAGAGTAAATGCAACAAACATTAACACAAGAGTCGTTGAGCTTTTTAAGGTCCCTACATTTCTGACTCAAATTAACACAAAATTCTTTTCTTTTGTGGAATATACCGACTTAAGAGATCTTTGTAATTTTATCAGTTAAGTCAACTATGTGTTTTGGTCAGCAAGAAGGGTCCTCCTGCACACGCATTAGCTGCACTGCCACTATTTCACCACCTACAGCTTCATATCTTACATTGAAGTGATGTTGACCAATCTACACATAGTTGTTGGTTGAAGTAAATGTTGCTGTATGTGCATTTTCTTCATTTTGTATGACATCCACAAACATCTCTTTCTAGATTCAGCAATGTTGTTCTTCTGTTGTCTTTTTTTCTCTGCTGCTGATTGGTTAAACATCAACCCCAAATCTAAAATGATGTGCTCTTCAAATAAATTGAGAATAATAATGAAAATATCTTTCATGTAGTTGCTGGTGATATCAGAAACTAAGGTATTTGCCATGTTGTCATCTAAGGAAGAGGTAAAATCATAAGCTGTATAAATTTACTGGACTCCCTTTTGTACATTGAATCCATGTGACAGATAATTCTCTTGTCCCAGGCGTTGCTCTTGCTATTCAGAATTAATTACTGTTGCTGGATTTGACCAATCAAAATACAACAGGGTGATTAGTTGGAAAACCATGTTCTAATGCAAGCTTAATTATGTTTTGGTTTTACATTCAGGGGGTGTATTCCCCTGTCCAGGCCACAGTTAATCAGCCATTTTGCAGGAAACACTGACGCAAACGACAACATGATTATTTGGCTCAGGCACACAACCCCAAGGCCCTAATCGTAGTTGTTCAGTCCTGTATTATCTTCCTCTCATTAATATTCACTTCTTTTGTCCAACCTTTTTTCCCTTCCATCTTCTCTGTCCATCATCTCCCTTTTAAATTCTGCTTTTTAATCTGTAACCTACCCCTCCTTGCCTTTCTGCTTCTCCCTCTTTTCCCCCTTTTCTTGTCATTTTCTGCTCAATCCCTCATTTTCCTAACCTGTCATTTTCCATTCCTTTTCCTTGTTTCTCTGCCTTGTTTTTGCCACATCCCTGATTACCTCCCCGTTTCCACCTTCAATCCTGTCATGTTATTCCCCTGCTCATACTCACTCTCATTCTTTTCTTCACTAAACTCCCCCATTTTCCTCCGTTTCCCTCTCTTTTTCCTTGTACTGCTGCCTGTGCACCCTACTTCCCCCTCCTCCCTCTTCCCATCTATTCTTTCCTCTCCTATTACCCTGATTTCCATTTCCCTCCCCACCTCCTGCCCTTTCCCTCCTCTCTCTCTCTCTCTCTCTCTCCCCACCTGAAGCTCGTAGGTATGGCATCTGACAGCAGCTGGACGGATGCTGTGGTGGAGCTGCAGGTGTGGTGCCAGCTGGCATCCTTCTGCCACAGTGCCGAGCACCACGACTTGGTGTTGTGCTGCACAGAGAAAGCTCTGCAGCTGGGAGAGGCAGCAGAAAAGAGCCTTGATACTCAGCCTTTTGTTTTGTAAGTGTGGACAACAAGTTTGAAATAAATTTGAAATACAGTACAAATGATTTTTGCTCTTACATCTTATACAAAAGCCAGCACTGTTTATAGTAAGTGTGTTGAGTGGTTGAGATGGTTTGGTTCACCAGCTCTCTGGGGAGCAGGTGACATCTTGTGCATATTCAGCAGTATTGCAGGTGATGTAAATGAGAAATGTTACTTTCCGGTTTTGCATGAACCATAAAGTTGGAATACAGTTGCAAAACTTTTTCAGTGTGTGTCATTTTATTTATTTATTTATTTTGCCTGATTGATGGATTGACTTTGATTGACAGCCCTGACATTCCCTCATATCCCACAGGTACGGCCTGACTGCAGTGAATGAGATGCTGAGTAGTGCAGCCTGTTTGAGGGGTTTGAGTTTAGTCCATGAGTCCAGAGGAGATCTGCTCTCATATAGAGAGGCTCTGAGTGTGCTCCTGTCCAGTGTCAGGTGATGTTTGCAGTCTGATTATGAACACAGCCTTGTTCAACAACAAACAAGTTTGGGAAAATTCTCTCAATCTCATACTTGACAAGCTTGCTTCTTTTCTGGTCAACAGCTTTGCAGAGAAGGCAGTGAATCCAGCATTGTGTGCAGCAGCTGCCAGACATTACTGGAACGCATGTCTGCCCCTAACACAGACTCCTGAGGAAAGACAGAAGCTCCAACAGCCTCTGGAGAGGATCCTAACGGCACTGATTCAAACCAACAAAAAACATGCAAGTGTTTGGACTCTTCTCCATGTTCACAGTAATCTACATAGATTCTGTTTGTTATGTTGGTGTCATGTGTAAAAAAGATTGTTACCTCTAGTGATTGTGAACAGCCTCTTCTGTAAAAGGCCGGGGGGGTCATCAAAAACTAATCATGACAATATTTCCAACACTCATTAATTGTAATACTTTAGTGATGCTGATTGATAAGGAGAATGCTGTCAGTGAAGGAGGCTGGGAAATAACACCCCGTTTAATACTTTAATTTTAGAATACAGTGTTCAGAACACACTTAAAGTCCCACTCCAATCAGTTTTTGTTACTACTTAAAGTGTCCTCAGTGATCATTAAATTGTGATAATGAAGTTTTTTGCCAAAGTCACGTTACCTGTATTATTTTCAAGGGCTTTTCTTCTGCAGAGCTCCAGTAGCTCATCAGCAATTCACCTCTAAGTCGTGGATGGACACAGCGGTGCTCTGCACTCTCCTCTTAATGCTAGCTTACACCCTAACATTGAATGTGTATTAGAAATAGCAGGTAACATAAGAGCTATTCAGTTCTCGGACACGCATGTCTTTGGAGACATGATGAAAGCTAACATCATAATTAGCTTTCTTACAAACATTGTGATCGGCTACTCCACACATTTGTTCCATGATTGTCTTCTCTACTTCTCCTAGTCTGGCCTGCATAGCGGTCGTATGAAAAATATGTTTTTGATGGTCCAAATGAAGGATTCCTTGAGGATCCAATAACATATAATTATCTAATCAAGTTTTCTATTTTTAAATGACCAAGATTTTTAAAAAATAACAGTGACCCGCATGATGGGTAAGTTGTCAAATTGGTCTCCATTCTTTCATGCTATATTCTACAGGCTGGCTGATATTTTATTCATTCCATACTGTGTAAAATATTCAACAGTACTGTATTTACAAGGCCCATACTGACTTCCAATCAAACAGAGCGTAAAGACAACACATTGAACGTTGAAACTAAAAAATCTTGATCATTTTATGTGCAATGTTATGAAACATATTTTCATTTTAGAGTTGACACCAGCAACAGGCTTAAAAACAGTTGGGACGGAGCATATTTATCATCGTGTTGCATCACCTCTTTGAACAACACTCTGTAAACGTTTGGGAGCCCAGGGGACCCGGTTCCTGGAGTTTTGGAAAGGAAATCTTGTCTCATTTTTGCCTGCTATAGGATTGCAGTTGCTTAACATTTTAAGGTCGTCTCTGTTGTTGTTGTTGTTTTCGTGTCATGATGTACCCAATGTTTTCAGTGGATGACAAGTCACCACTGCAATCAGGCTAGTTTAACACCTGGACACTTTTATTAGAGTCATGCTGTTGTAAGGTGTGCACAAAGGCATTGTCAGGATGGCAGTATATGATGCTGTCCGTATAATGTTGAGACCACCATGAATGCTGGCTTTTGAAGTGTATGTTAATTATAGGCTGAGAGGCCCCTCTCCTACTGTTTACCTGCAGTTATAATGTGACCTTGAGTTTGTAGTTTTGACCCTCGTGGAACGTCTTTATAGAAGCAACAGCCTCATCTTTCAGAAACATTTGAGATGCAAATGACCCCAGTTAGCAGAGTAGGGAGTTCAAACAGCTACAATGCAGCCGTTGTTTTTCCAAAAACATGAAAACATCCTACTGTTCTCTCCTGTCTTTGGCAAGATAAATAGCTGTGACTGTCCTTGACAACAAAAGAGCACTTATGAGCAACTTTCTTTGACAAACTGACTCAACAAAAGGAAGAAAAGAAGAAGAAAAGTATCAATGAAACAGACTTACCAGCTGCTGATTGGGTATGCCTGTGACAGAGCTGTTGGGTGGGCTCTTTTTGACATTATTGTCCTGATTGGATGATACAACCTGACATCAGTCTTAAAACAAGCCAGGAGCTGGAATACATGTCTGAGGGTCATGCCACCATCTATGTTTTACATTTTATGAAACTTTGCTGAGATCGAGTATAGACACCCAACATTGTGACATATTTATACCTTCAAGTACAGATCAGCATAATCAGTCTCCTTAAAAAAGACCTGGGTTCTGAGAAATGTTATTAGATCATGTTTCTATAGAAATGTCATGTTTTTTTTTGTTTTGGTTTTTATCTACATTAGTGGATGCAGACAAAAGTTCTTGAGTGTGACCATGTGTTGATTTTCAATGCAGAGTCATGTCTGTTTTAAGTGCAGTGCTGTAAGATTACAGCCATCCAGTCTTGACTTTGGATCTAATCCTTTTTGTTTGGTGATTTCTGTAGATATCTTGAATCTCGTAATTATATGAGGTGCCATAACTGATAAAATCCCCAAGATCTTAGTAATTATACACTTGGGAATATTTAACTATTTCCCACCCACTCTCTCACAGAGTGGTGAACCTCTGTCTATTTTCCATTTTTAACTCTGAGAGTTAAACAACTTTCCCAGTGCTGTAACATTTGATTTTGGATGTGTATTGCTACAAAAAAAATTAAATGCGCCTACACTTTTATTAAACAATTATTTTCAGTTTCAACCACAAATCCGTTGTCTTTGCACTATTCTAATTAACAAAACAAATTAAACATAGTCTAAATAATGATTTTCAAACCAAATCTGTTTTTATCAATCCAGATTTGACACGTCTCATGGAGTTAAGGCAGCAGACTTTGCCAAGTGATCCACATCAGATTCCCAACCACAGACAAAATTACTTTCTAGATAAAGGTCAAGATTTAAAGCCGTTTCTTATCCAAAGCAACCAAGTCCTTCCCAACACCCTCAATTTTTAATCTTCTTATCGTCTCAGCAAACTGCTGAGAGGATAAAGGTTTAGCAAAAAGATGAAAATCAGAAACACCCTTTCATATCCTGTTGTAGTTTTCCATTTTCAGGTTAGTTCGATTTTATCTTTTGTGATGATTTTAGTTCACTTGCTTCAAAATAAGGCGCACAGCTTTTAAGCTTGCTCTGCCATCTTTAATTGATGATAAATTGATGAAACATTTTCTGGAGTGAGCTACCAGGGAGAATTTGTGAGTGTACTCAAGTGTGTGAAAACATCTCCCCAGCGCTGCCTGTGGACAGCATTCCAGCCTGAGGGATAAACAGGCATTCAGCTGCAAAATAACTTTAAATCTATAATTAAAGGCAACTTGTGGGAGAATTCAAAACGATGTTCATCTGGGGCGTTCCCCCCAGTGTTGATGCTGTTCTTCAACAGTTTTATGAAACACAGTAAAGAGGGGGGAAATGATATTAATCTCATTGCACTGTATTTAACACACAAACATGAAATTTTTCCATCTGAGGCGCACAAGTGCACACATCAAAATAGTTACATCAAATGGCAAAGTGAGTTCACTGGTGCTGCAGCCTCTGGGAGAGGCAGGGGATTTACGGCTATCTACAGAGAGCGGACAGGGTCAAATAAAGGACGAGGGCAAGCTGTATTTTACATCAGAGAGCTTAAAGTGCAACAAATCATCCACCACTACTAGCTGCACTTTCCTGTCACTTTTGCAGCGACTTAAGTGTAAATCCTCTTCTTTATGTTCACAAACAGGGCAAGGTGAAAGGATCCCTGACCTTCAGAGCTCTGAATCCGAAGCACGAAGCAACAGGTGAGTGATAAAAGGACCTCTATTCCAATTAAAGACACTGAATGTCATTAATTCCAGGTTGAATTATTATGTTTGTATTTGTGCACAACATTTCAACAGCAGAATTTCTCAAATGTCTTTTGATCATGAAGTTAGTTATACTTTAGAGTCATATATGAGAAAAGTATTGGATAATTAAAATTACTAACACTCTGTTGACAGAATGAGAATTTTTTTTTTCTTTTCCAAACAAAAATAGTGTTTTTGTGATCAAGCTTACAGCTATCTTCAGAGTAGAGGGGCATTGAAAGTAGTGCAGTTATTCATTTGCCAAACCTCACAACTCATATGCAGAGGATATAGCAAAGTTATGAAATTTTTCATATAACTCACTGTGTCCTCCAGCTACTTTTTAAGATAAGATTTCATTTCTGTCTTTCTAAAAGCAAATAGAGAAAAAAATGTGAAATTTTGGTGTGAACATTTGATTTTGAAGCAGTTTTGGTCTTTTTTGTGCTCATGAAAAACTTTGTAGTTCTGAGAATTCAGCTGCCAAAACCAGAAACAATGTCTTTGCTACAAGTTTAATTGTTTTTCCTGTTAAGATAATTCAGTCATAAAAAAAACTACCCAATTTTCAGGCAACAAAAAAGAAATTGAGGACCCTATTGCAAGATATGTAATTAACTTTTCGCAGTGCAACTTTCTAAAAATTCATTTCTGTGTTTGTGTCCCTGTGAGTAGATGAGGAGGACCTCACCCTCAGAGCAGCGATTTACAGTTTGTTATTCCACATCCAAGCTGATAAAGCGGACTGGAAAAGTGCACTGCGGCTCCTGGACCAGGCTATCAAAGACATGCCAACCAAAACACACCAACTGTGAGTTCCACTGAGAATACACATGAAAGAAACTGGAGAGGTGGACTGACAGAGAGACTTCATCTGTCCGTGTTGTGCTGTTTCTCTTCTCCAGACCTCTGCTGGAACAGAGAATCCTGGTGATTGTTCGACTCGGGGGAAACATACAGTTTGACATGAAGAGGTTAGAAGGTGAAGGAGAGCAGTGCTGTTCCTTTATGTGGCACCAAGTGGCGCTGTGTTCAGGCAGTGTTACCCAACAGCTCAGCTGCTACCAAAAATCCATCTCCTGTTTAAAGGTAATATATCTGTCCCAACATCATCTTCTATCCTTTCTCATATAGTGAGATATATGAGTCATCTGATGGATCATGTTGCAGTCATTTGTATTTGAAAAGTGAGTTGAAAAAGAGCTTTTACCAGTAACAGTTTATACTGAGCAAGGACAACTTTGCTGGAAAGTCTCTGACCCCATCATGTGGAGTTGGGATGTCATTACAGTTGTGTTAATAGTCCCACCATACTACAGTCGGGAACATAAGAGTATCATTTCTCTGATGTTCCCTGTTTGATATTTTCAGCTTTTGATTTGAAAAAGTATAAATACAGAATGTAAAATAGCAGTCAGATTTTACCCTCATTTTATTTTTTATTTTAATTTATGGTGGTTTTTCATAATGTTTAGAGAAACCATTAAAAAAGCATTTAAGAGGTAACTAAAGAGCAGAAAGTACTGAATATACACCTCTACACAAAGAAGCATCAAGACCCAATCTAGACATCTGCTACTTAACTTGATCTTATCAATCTTATCAGGTTTAGTTTACAAGATAAATACACAGAAGTTTGAGAAAGTAATGGGACTGTGTTTTTATTTGAAGAAGCCAAGCCTTAATACTCACATAAACACTGTGAAAAAAACATACAAATTTTATATTTGTCCATCCAATAACAATTTACATGCATATAAAAAATAAAAGCTTAGAGGACACATTAGTAAGTAAAGCTTATTTATTGTTTTTTAAGTGAAACATACAGATTATGTGTTGCTCCAGTTAGCTTTTTGTCCATCCTTAAACTTGTATTTTATCAAAAACCCTTTTTTTAATTGTGAATTTTATGGCCACAACAGGTGCAGGCTAAGTAACTGTAACCAATTGTTTCCATCCTTGCCTCAGCCACTTCCTCTCTATTCCATTTCATTTGACAGTAATGTATACATTTATGTTGCTGGTTGAAATTCCTCCTTAGAAGTCCGGAAATTGAAGATCTGAGTTTGAGAGACAAAGTTTTTAGGACCTCTGAGGGTAAATGTGAGAATGAGGGAAATCTCTGACAATATATTTTTTTTCTTGTCTCATGCATTACAGTTTCAAATAGACTCTTTGTGTTTGTGATGTTGTCGTTGAACAGAGTCCAGAAACCTGGTGGCAGAAGGTCAACCTGCTGCTGGAGTTTGGAGAGTGGCTGTTCTGTCACAACTTTCCAAAAGGTGATGCCCAGCAGCATGTTCAGTGGGCTGTAGACATCCTTCTGCAGAGGGAGAGAGAAGATGAAGCAGGTAGAGCTCACTGATTCATCATATTCATTGTATCATGACTTATCAGTAAATGACTGGCTGTTATGCTACTGGACAAACAGATCAAGAAGAGATGTATCTCAAAATAGCATGAGGTCAAAGTACACAGAGTTCCTTAGCCTCATTAATACATTTCTTGCGTGTTTGCACTTGTATGCCTTTTCCTTTGGGGCCACTATTTTATGATAGTTGCATCAGCAGTTATATTTAGTGTTAGAACTTTCTTTTCAGTTGTTAGCCTGTGTAGTCATGTAACCAAGCAAATATTGTTCAGAGGAAAAGGGACTGACCTGACAAAGATCCCATGTGGCTCACCATTGAGGATGACAAAACACTGTTGTAAATGCAGCCCAGATAAGCTTTGAGCCCCTTTTAATAGTCCCTGAGTGAGAAACTAAACTCAAGAAGAAAAGAGAAGGAAAAACCCTAATTACTGAGATGTGTCCGAGTGTGTAGTACTAGTACAGGCTCTATTTGTAAATGTTAGAGGTGAAGAACACATCTGTACTGTTCACTTTTAAACTCTGCATCACAGTAATGGTTGTGTGTGCATATCTTTTCTCCAGAGGATGACGCCAAGATGAAGGGTCCAAGTTCAGTTCAATGCGAGTCCCCAGTTAGAGTCCGGGGCTCATTATACGCAAAAAGTCTTTCTGATCTAAAGGAGGTGCGGCGCCTGGACAGCCTGGTGCGAGCACACACTTTGCTCGCTGTCATGGCAGACAGGACTGCGCCTGAGCACCAGCTTTACCTTCTAAGAGCCTACACCTTTGTGCTGCAGATATGGAAGGTAAAGCACCTGAACAACAACACCGCTATGTCATTGTTGAAGAGGCTGTTCATGAAATGCAAATTATGTAGGGGCTGAGCATGTCAGATGAATCTCAGTAGGCTGTTTGTGTTCCAGGTGTCCATGGCAGTGTGCTGTGAGATTTCCAGTGAGACAGCGAAGACCCAACCATCTCAATCCCCTCTCTCTGCCGGATCCAAAAAGGGAAAAGGCAAGAGCAAAAGCAAAAACGTAAAAGATGTAAGTCCTGCAGGTTGAATTCGAAAAAAAGATGCTAGTGACTCACTCTGTTTCTAAAGGTGTGTTTAAATTACAGAATAAAGGATGTGAAGAGTTCAACTCCATGTGAATCAAAACAAGCCTTTTCAATCACTCCTCTGCTCAGCATGTAATATGCATTTTGTCCTCCACAAGAGAAATAAACCTACTTCTTAACTTGCCTCCAATTATAATACATACAGTATATACTATTTATCGACTAGGTGCTTGTATGCTATGGTTTCACTTGCACATACCTCTCAGCTCCCACATTTTCAAAGATTATGATTCAAAGAAACATAAAGAGAAGCAGAAGTTCAGCTTCTCTTTATGTTTCCCTCATTCTCTGAAAAGTCAGCAGAGAAGTGTCTTCTTGTAGATTTGGTTGTGCATGATTGGGAGCCTGTACAGCAATCAGGTCTCCCTATTGTCTGTTTTATCTGATGGATTTCCATATGAGTAGAAAATCTGGCATCTCACTGTACAGGCAATCTGATTAACAACTTACGTAGACAGGCTTCTTATTTTGTTTGTCCAAGCATGCAGCCAAGCCCTACTACAAAAAGGTACTCTGCTTTTAATTGGTAATTTTTACAGCTCATAAAAGTAGTGTCTTAGTCTTAGTAGGGTCTTGTTTGCTTTTATAGGCCATAAAAAGACAAAGCTTTTGATTTAAGCCACATCATAACCAGATAGAAACTCCTCCATGGAGCCTTACCCCCAATATCCACCGCATTCGGAACGGCTATGAAAAGGCCATATCCGCAGATCGCAACTGTTCGTACCCATTCAAGTTAATGTGTCAATTTCCACCGGCTTCTTTCCGTTCCGCTGCAGATCAAGAACAAAATGTACTTTCAGTGTCTGATCTGTTTTAGCAGCCTTCACCTGCAGAAAAGAGACCCCAACCTGTTGTCCTGGATCAAGAACTGCCTTCTACTCCAATCGACTGGGCTGGCTTCATCTGTCCTGAGCAGGCCCGGCAGATCTTCAGAACCACCGAGAACCCTCAGTGTATCAATACACACAGCATAACAAAGCAGGCAAGAGTTCATACCTCTTCTTTCTGTGACAGTTTTATTACATTTCCTGTATATTAAAAATCAATGCTTGGTTATCAAATGCGGGAGCTTGGAATGCATGTAGCTTTCAGAACTCACTATATGTTGGTTAAGAGGAAAAGGATAGAAAGCTAAAGCATTAAAGTTAGAAAATCAAGCAAACAGGGGTATTTGGAATCATCTACAGGACTAACACTGACTTTTGCTAATATACTGTATGTGTAATTTGATCTGATTTGTGACTCTTTTTTTGTGCTTGGCTGCAGACTCAAAGTCTGTTTTATCTCAACCTGCTAGAGAAGGAGCTAAACTCACTCTCACTTCAACACCTGACCTTACCCATAATGCATTTAGCTGAGACCATTGCTCATGACCTTTTGGAAAAGAGGAGCCTCTCCGATCTCTACCAGCTAAGGTAAAAACGCAGTCAATAAAAAGTAAAAAATAAAGGGAAAGTCCAGCATTTAATACAACAAAGTAGAGAGGAACGAGATTACAACTGCTAATGAGGAAAAAAAAGTCCCGTCTTTCCGTCTGCAGAGGCGTCTGTGCAAAACCTGATAAGATACCAGGAGTGATGTGTCGTTTCTTTACTGTGTTGTACCCTGATCAGAATTATAAGAACCTGTTGTCAGCTGGGTTTGAAGGCACATACACCATACTACCAGCAGCTCCAGGATCTGAGCAGAATCCAAGAACAAGAACAGATGGAGTACGTTGTCACAGTTATAAAGATTTAATGTTCGCACATTTCCCTTTAATGACTGATGATAACAATCTTTGTGATTGCAGCTGTCGCAAAGAGATTGCTTTTCTGCAGGAGAGGAGAGGCCTCGACAAAGATTACAATCAGGTCAGTCTGCTCCTCACAAAATCTGTGTTTTGAATTTTTCATCACATGCTCCACATTCACAAGAGTAGAAAAGTGGAAGAAATGACCATTAAAATTGAGAACTTTGCTCTGGTTTTATTCCTTTCTGGAGGGTGATTGTCAAGCATCTACTGGAGACTCATACTGGTGAAGTAAATTTACTGTGTGCTAACATTTTATAGTAACATGAATTGGCTCATTAATATATGATTTTGAACACAATTGAATTACTCACTGGAATAAACACTAAGTCTTAAGTCATCTGTGTTTGATACCTGTGATGTTTTAATCATAATCATTCATGGTTTTTGCTTTTAACGGTTATTACTCAGTTTGTTTATGGTGCAATTATCTAATTAAAATCCCTCATCCCTGAACACAGTAAAACACACCCAGGTCACATGTTGAGGGACATTTTTTTCCGTTGCATATGTATATTAGTAATTCCATATCACAGGTTTTTATAGGCCAAAATTAAGGACCCAGCTCTAATAATTCAAAAACATTAGACTTTTGCTGTTTTGTTTGTGTAAACTGCTAACCATATAAAAAAGTATAAACAGTTACAGTTTACAGTTGCTTCTTTAATTTGGTCAGCTCTGCCTTCACTCAGTTTCCTCGGCCAGTTGCATCTGCTGGGTCCAAACTAAGTGGGTTATATCTCTTTCTTTTAACCCACTCTTGAATCCAAACTTACCATGAGAGCCTTTAGGCTAAATCTGATCTTAGCTGTGCCTGGTTTTATCATGTGTGTTGAAGTTGTGGAGCAATACGTGTTTTCAAATAGTGCTTTTCTATCCACTCTCTCTCTCTCTCCTGCAAAAGCCAACAGATTAAATGGTACAGAAAGAAAAATACAAAAACTCAAAGAGTTGTATGCAGATAAGAAAAACATTTTCATTTAAAAGCGTAACAGTACAAACACAAACTTCAACAGGGAAATTGGGCTGCTCTGTAATCAAAACGGTCATAATTAAACAGCATAACCGCTGACATATTTGGAGAGTATTTTCACAGGACTGGACAGCACTGACAGCTCAGAGCTGACGGCATTATTTATTTAAAACCTGAGAGCAAACCTTAGCTTCTTGCGTGTTTTAACACCCCTCATACTTTCTCTCCAATTTTTCTGCTCATTTTTTTTCTCTGCAGTTGTCTGGTCAGCCATAAACCACCAAGTTGTGGACTGCAGAAGTAAAATAGAGCATTACGAGTAATACTAAAAATATCCTCTCTGTTGTTTACTAATGTTATGGTAAACAAATGTTTTGCCAAGAGGAGGAGGTGTAAACATAAACTCAGTGAATGTGTCAGGTTTGTCTAGTACAAATATTTCTGAGCTAGTGTGATGATAATGTTTAAGAAGTGTTAAGTTTTACACACTGAACAGAGGTAACTTTCTGGTGGTCTCTCTCTTTCATTCATGAAAGAGGAGGTGCCGTTTGGTTTCGCCTCTGTGTGCTCATTTGATTCAACTCAGTTCAGAAGATATGACTGTTTGCCCCACCACCCTAATTACGATGTTTTCTTGTAGCTTTTGTAATCCAGTCCTAATTAGCTTGATCATTCGTTAACATTCATTAGGTACAATCACACCCAGATACACCCAGCCATTACAAATAGAATCAATTAGGGCTTGGTCCCAGGGCCTGTCTGTTCTTCTAGTGTGTCTTTCTTACTGATAAGTGTATGTACTCATGCTCTGTATGCAGTTTGTACTGTCCTAGCCCATGGACACCACAGTCGAGGACAAATGTCCTCCATTAAGGACAATAAAGTTGATTTAGATTCTGATTCTGATACACAATGTTTGTTTACATATTTTTCCTGAACCAACGTGTTTATGAGTATAAAACAATTTTAGTATTTTAGGGAGATTTTGGATTAAAATATGTGAAGTGTCTCTGTATCTCTATGATTTTCAGAACAATACAGAGATTGAAAGGTCTACATTTGGGCTGCAGAGTGTGAATGCTCAGGATGTGTGGCTGGACAAAGCTGAGGTTTGCGTCAGCATGGAACTCTTTCAACAAGCCAGACAGTTGATAGCAGAGGCACACATGGTGGCTTCGGTGAGTTGAAAGGGGAGAAAAAACTGTGAAACTCAAAGGACATAGCAGCGATGATCAAACAGAGTTTTCAAAAATAAAATATTTCCCTCTTTTTATTCCAAAACAAATCAAGGTTTTGATAAGGTCACTTTCTTCCTGTCTTTCTGTTCAGGAGCTTGGAGACGTGAGAGCTACAGCGAGAAGTCTGCTGAGTCTTGCTGTTGTGTCTTGTAAAGAACAGAACTTTGCCCAGGCACTGAGTCAGCTGGAAAAAGCCAAAGACCTGGGTGGGGATGAGGAGTTCTGGTACCAGTTCACCCTCACTAAGGTCAGAGCTGCAGTCGGCCTGAGAGACCAAGACGCTCACAACAAGGTAAAGAAAAGTCATCTCCACTCATTCCTCTGCAGCACTAAGGTGTAGGAGTATTTTTGTACTCTATGTTACTCCCACTTTTCTGCTTTCACAGGTTGATACGATTATTAAACAAGGCTGTGATGCTCTGAAGCTGGTTCTTGAGCAGCAGGTGAACCGAGTCCAAGAGATCACATTCCTCATCACTTCATTAAAGATGAGGTAACCCTGATCTAGTGCGATCAAACCTGCTTCATGTGTTATTTCAAAAAAAGACGTTTAATACTTTAATAATATGCCATTGATCAAGATTTTCATCCATCTATCAAAGTAAAATATCACCATTTGATAGAAGTCGACCAGCTGACAATTATAAAATAGTTTACAGTAGTTGTGATTTCAGCAGGCATTAATGTTCTTATTGATTCTCTTATAATTTTTTCCAGAGGTGCTGTTGAATGTACTCGTGCTCTGTGTGCTGGTAAACCTGTGGACACTCTCTGCAAAGAAGCTGTCCAGAGGATAAGTGCTGCCTGTGATACATTCAGAGAGTGTGTCACTGTTTTTACAAAGCTGGGCTACAGACAACACGCAGCAGAGGCACATGAAGAGGCTTCAGACTGTCTGGGGTCAGTCTTTAAGAATGAATGATCTGCTTAGATCACTTGGGTGCATGGAGATCTTTTTTGTTCTGCATTTCTTTGTAACATCTTTAAAATTTGACTTTAAAGCCCCCTGTGGAAAAAAAAAGGTAACACTTGAATCATTACTCTTTTTGTCTTATCCTCATGATAGTGAGGATAAGAACATAATTTTTACCATAATTAAGTCACGGAAGTTGCATTCATAATAATTACATTATATAAAAACTTGTCAAACTTCCCATCATTGGTCTTGTTTGATTTTGTTCATTTCTGTCTGTTTCATAACCCATCAGAACTTCTCTATGACCTTTAGCAGAATATCCTTTGAAGCATTGGGATTTTGGTGTGAATTGTTTCTATTTTATTCCCTGTAGAGAAAGGTAGACAGTCGTTACTCCAAGAGAATTTTGAAGTAAACATCGATAAATGCCACACCTTTCCTCAAAATGCCTCCGCTTGCCACATAAAAACAAGTCTGACCCTACAAATGGTTCATACTCCAGCTTGTTTGCCTTTGACATTTGCTGTTTTGCTTTTTGGATCGGTTGAGTCTCTCACAAAACCTCTTTTTCCTCTGTATCTGCAGAATCCTCACCTGCCACACCTTTTCTTTAGAGGACAGACAGCGCTTCCTGCTTGACAGCGTCTCTGAACTACAGCTGGCTGTTGCAGATCAGGAACATGTGGTGCTGAACGCTCAGAGACTGTTCCCCTTGCAAGAAGAGGTAAAAAAAAAAAGTGTATGCATGTTTTTTTAAAATCCATATCTTGTTGTGATGTTGCCCTTTAGCAAAATCTCAGGTTTCGCATCACTTTTGTGTTTTAAGTACACTTTGGATAAAAGTGTCTGCTAAATGACGTTGTAACACTGGAAAAAACACACCTTATTGTAAGGCAAAAAAAACAGTGATGAAAAATATCCACCAGAAACAACTAACTAGGACAACAAAGAGACATAACAATAGAAAGAAAAAGAAATAGAGAGAGAGCAAAAAGTTTCAATGTGATTGTTTGTTTCTTAGATTTATTGATTATAAATGGACTATTGTATGTATAAGTATGCTTTAATTAATGTCTAATCCTTGACTATTTAAAAAAAATGACTTTGTTGGCCTAGATAATCTTAGATCTGTAGCTAGACATACTTAATTTGACGTTATCTCAAATGTCAAATCTATTGGGCTTAAAAACGGGAGTTACAAAAAGAATCATAAGAAAAAGCTATCTACAAAAGCAAGACAAAAAGTCAATAACTGAATGACAGTCTAAAAGTATGACGTATTTGTGAGTGGGTGGATGTTGTGCTGTTGTTTTTATTTCAGAACACACTTTCACGATGCTCTGACACAAACAGATAAAGCTTTCATCATTGTGTCTGGTCTGGATCGTATTTTATCCCGGCTGTATACAAGCTCTCATACAGATGAGGTTATCAGAGGGTTTATACTGGTATAACTGTGGCTGCAGCTTTGATTTACATGTTGATGGAACCATGAGAGAAAGATTGATTGAACGGCTCTCACAGCTGCTGCACATTCTTCTTCTTCTATTGATGAAATCTTCTGCAGGTGTTGTGAAGCAGAGTAGGATCAGCAGATGGTGCTGCTGTTCTGCTCAGCTCTGACCTCCAGCCTGTACCAGAAACAAGATACTTAAAGCTGCAATCACTGAAAACATGCAGATCAGATCATTACGCACCTTTGTGTCTTCTGTTCTGATTACATGGGCAGTTCTAAGTTTCACTCTTAGCAGGATCTGTACTTGCTGTTTGACACGCCAAGTCCTTTATTTTTTTTTTTTTTATAATGATTGCATGCTTCTTTGGTGTTTTCTTCCACTTCAATCAATAACTCAGGTTCAATGATCCAGGGAATATTTTGTAAATTAGTAGGTGGTGCTTTTTTTCCCCTTTTTTTACACCATTTTTAGGACAATTTGTGTTTATCAGATGCCACCAATGCAACAACATCTACACTCACCGGCCACTTTATTAGGTACACCATGCTAGTAACTGGTTGGACCCCCTTTTGCCTTCAGAACTGCCTCAATTCTTCGTGGCACAGATTCAACAAGGTGCTGGAAGCATTCCTCAGAGAGCTTGGTCCATATTGACATGATGGCATCACATAGTTGCCGCAGATTTGTCGGCTGCACATCCATGATGCGAATCTCCCGTTCCACCACATCCCAAAGATGCTCTATTGGATTGAGATCTGGTGACTGTGGAGGCCATTTGAGTACAGTGAACTCATTGTCATGTTCAAGAAACCAGTCTGAGATGATTCCAGCTTTATGACATGGCGCATTATCCTGCTGAAAGTAGCCATCAGAAGTTGGGTACATTGTGGTCATAAAGGGATGGACATGGTCAGCAACAATACTCAGGTAGGCTGTGGCGTTGCAACGATGCTCAATTGGTACCAAGGGGCCCAAAGAGTGCCAAGAAAATATTCCCCACACCATGACACCACCACCACCAGCCTGAACCGTTGATACAAGGCAGGATGGATCCATGCTTTCATGTTGTTGACGCCAAATTCTGACCCTACCATCCGAATGTCGCAGCAGAAATCGAGACTCATCAGACCAGGCAACGTTTTTCCAATCTTCTGTTGTCCAATTTCGATGAGCTTGTGCAAATTGTAGCCTCAGTTTCCTGTTCTTTGCTGAAAGGAGTGGCACCCGGCGTGGTCTTCTGCTGCTGTAGCTCATCTGCCTCAAAGTTCGACGTACTGTGCGTTCAGAGATGCTCTTCTGCCTACCTTGGTTGTAACGGGTGGTTATTTGAGTCACTGTTGCCTTTCTATCAGCTCGAACCAGTCTGGCCATTCTCCTCTGACCTCTGGCATCAACAAGGCATTTCCGCCCACAGAACTGCCGCTCACTGGATATTTTTTCTTTTTCGGACCATTCTCTGTAAACCCTAGAGATGGTTGTGCGTGAAAATCACAGTAGATCAGCAGTTTCTGAAATACTCAGACCAGCCCTTCTGGCACCAACAATCATGCCACGTTCAAAGTCACTCAAATCACCTTTCTTCCCCATACTGATGCTCGGTTTGAACTGCAGGAGATTGTCTTGACCATGTCAACATGCCTAAATGCACTAAGTTGCCGCCATGTGATTGGCTGATTAGAAATTAAGTGTTAACGAGCAGTTGGACAGGTATACCTAATAAAGTGGCCGGTGAGTGTATGTCTTTTTGTTAATTTGTTTGTTTTTCCCCTTCATTTTAAGAAGACATATCTGTAAATACTCTATCCTCTGCTATATCTATCACAATGTTAATTCATGAAAATAAGATTTTGGTGCGGTAAACCATGTTTTAAAGTCATTTTTTCTTATTTTTAGTGCAACTATGAAACACTGTGAATCGTTGTAAAAGAATGCACCTCAAAACAAGATTTGTCTTTGTTTGGCACGTTGTACACTAACATTATTAAACTTATTTTACCAAATTTATTTTCACTGGTTGGTGATCGGCTGAGGAGGTACATTGAGAATTTTTAAAAAGGGTTAAAAGAGTGAGTGCTTGAACTTGATTACCTTGTGTTCTGTCATCCCTGCTGATGTGCGTAAATTCCATTTCCAGTACTTTTAATACACTCAATTCTTGATGAAAAACGAGGAATTTCTTTATGATATGCTTATTAATTGAGATGCACTTTTTGTCCACACCAGAGTTCTAGGATGTCCCTGGCAGCATCAAGGAAGCTGCAGCAGCTGCGGCTGGATCTTGCAGAGTACAGTCTGGTTCTACTTGAGGTACCATGTGAAGAAGAGAGATACCGAGCTTTAGCCATGGAGAAGATGACATCAGCTGACAAGATACTTGAGGAGTATACACGCTGCTCACCTGAGCCTGACTCTGTAGAACAGGTGAGACGAGCACACAAGCCCTCCACAACTTAAAAATCTTTAATCTCTTTAGATTTTAAACATTCACTCTCAACTGTAATGAAATGTAAACCTCCTTTTGATGTCATGTAATACAAGATTTAACAGCATGTATTTCAAAGATTTTGGGTTCTGGAAACAAAATAGTGTTGAAGTGTCTTCACTGTGAAGGTGTAGCATATGATTTTATCTTTACATCATAAAAAAATAATCTATCCTGCATACAGATCCAGCTTATCAATGCCTACAGAATGCTTTTGATTTTAAAGAAACACACACAGAGCTTGTATCAGGTGTCATTTAATTTTTTCCAGCCGTATTATATTTCCTAGTTTAGCTTTATGATGTCTGGTTATAAGAGAGACTACACTGAACACTATAGCATCAAAGTTGCTGATGTCTGTGATTCAGTGACCTGTTTGCTAGTATTTGTTTGTCACATGATTGCACCTGTGAGCAAGTTGACATCTCCTCCTCTACACCTTGTTTGAACTTCACTTCTTCATATTCTGTCCAGGAATGGTCAGATGTTGCCAGCACTTTGGGGCAGGTGGCTTTGGGCCAGCTGGCTGCAGTCTGGTTTCAGTCCCCTGACAACGTGGAGGCCCAAGCTTGTTGCCTGAGCCTGAAAGTACAGTACCTCAGACTGATGGCATTGCAGGAGGACCCTCTTTATCTGTGTGCACTCTGGGATAGGCACAAACAGGTAGACAGCACTAAAATTTATTCCTAAGATCAAATATGATACATACAATTCTGATTTATAAGTTCCTGACGGATGCTTAATCCTCAATAAAAAAGTGGACTCTGACAGGTTGTTTGGGAAATAACAGTAATATCAGGAAATGTATTGAAATCATTGTTGCTAGTCTGTGACAGTGATTCCTTTTGCAGCAGTCTTGTACAGTAAAATACCGTCATGCACAATGGATTCAGTTTGGGAACAGAAAGGTGTTTTAGCGGTTTGTAGAGAACAATCTGAAGATACAGCACAGCAAGTTTGGTGGAAATTTGTGTGGTTTGAAGTAAACATATGTGATGATGGGGGTCAAACAGGTCAATTCCTAAACTACAGTCTTATTTAAGAACAGTTTCCATGGCTGTAAATTCCTCATAATCAGTCTCTTATTTCAGCCCAGCATTCCTTGGCTGAAGGGTCAGTTTTAGGTTCAGCAGTGTTTATTTTTACACGTCTCCTGGGTCAAATCATCAGTAAACAAACATGATGTCCAGTTCCACTGTTATGCTGATGACCTTCAGTTTTGTCTCTTAACATTCCACCAATCCTAAAAATGTAAATGAATAAGCCACTTGTCTTTCATCTAACTTAACTTTCTGACATCTTAAAAATCACACCAAAGCATCGATTAGTCTGTTTGGCACCACCATTCCCAGACAACTGTCACAAAATGTTAAGCCAACTGCAAGGAGCTGAGGTGGGGTTTTTTTTCAATCTGAACTTCACTTGGGTTAAGAAAGTTGTTAGGACTTTTTTTTTTTTCAAAATAGGTTTCAAAACCAATCTTTCTTTTTTATCCTTCAGTGACTTACTACATCTCTTCTCAGCCTACCCTTCATCCCCTTTAACTGATCCATAATGCCATGGCCCAACTCACTGGTTCAAGAAAAAGAGATCACATGACTCAAATTCTGCCCTCTGAAGATTGTTAACTGACTTTTAAAGCTTTACAAGACCAGGCCTCTCAGGATATAACTGACCCCCTGACTCCCTTTGAGTAAAAGTCCATCAGGCTTTTGCAATCCAGGCTCCCAAAACTACCTGCTGTGAACAAACCAGCTTAATCAGTACCTGCTTTTAAATCTTGTCTCAAAAAGTCATTTTAAAAAGATTTTATATCTGTATACATTTTCTTTTATTTGAGTTTAAAGATTTTAGAATAGTTTTTATAGGTCAGTTGTGTTTTCAGTTTGCAGGTATTACAAAGTCTGTTGTCAAACTAATTCTTCAAGTCCCCTGTCACCCTGTCAGCAAACTTGATGTCTTTACATTTATGACTGGCCCGATTTTGATCCCCAAAAGTTAACCTAAAGTCTGATGAATGTTTCACAGAAACCAGCTTGTACTTTACCTACTGCAGAATTAATCTTCAAGCTTACAGAAAAAAATGATATTACGACCGATTTTGTGTACTACATGTCTAAATTACAATTATAAATTATGCCAGTTTAATACTGCTGCAGTCAGTGTGAACAGGCTTGTTCAAACACTACTTAGGTGTTCTCAGCTTTTATTGAAATAATTCATCATTTTTATGTTGTCTAGATGTTTACACAAGTTCTCAGTGTTGTGGCTGTTAGAGAATATTTAATGCTACTTTAAAAACCTGCTTTTCCATACATGAATAGCTGTCATCACAACTCTGATGTACTGTTGTTAGTAAATGATGTTACCTGATGCAAAGTAAAGATCTCATACCTACTCAGGCAATGTGCCGTGGTGTTATACAGTTTAGATAATATTTCCAAACATCAGTAGTTATCATCTTTGAAGTTTTTTAAGTAATTCTGAGAGCTTTAATCTGATAAATTTCATTAGTCCTACTTGGAAAACACTCCAACAGTGACCAAAGTCTGGATGCTATAAAAGTCTAAGAGGATTTTACTCACCTGGAAAAAAAGTGACTCCACAGGGTGAAAAGTTTAAGGATTAGAGACATGAATGTCCACTTACATAAATTAAGTCTTCGTGGTTTATGGTCATGAGGGGATTTTATACTAATCGCAATCTTTTTCCTTGATCTTGAACCAATGTTTTGCAGACAGGAAGCTGGTCTGACACTGAAGCTGTTTCTGTGGAAAAGGAGAATTCAGAGGAAGGGAAAGACAGAGACTCAGGGAGAAGTAAACTGAGGATGACCCAGACGAAAAATGCTGAGCTGCAGGTACATACCACATGACCAGTGACCCCATCACATCCAATTCATCTCTGATCTGAGATATTTATACTGAAGTTCTTTTCACAACACCATCCCTCAGGAAGGAAATGTAAGTAAATGAATGGTTCTGTGAGGGAGTCAGAGCAAAGGGTACACATCAAACACAGAGCATTAAACATAGGGTTGTACACATTAAACACAGAGTACCGTAAAATGAGTGGGATGGGTCCTAGTGCTGCAGTACAGTGTGCATTGATAGGCCCAATGGGAAGTTAGATGAAGAAATGTATACTTAATGTGCCAAAATTAAAAAAAAAAAAATCTATGTATCATTTTATTTTCAAACCAAAAAATGACAAAATATGTTTTGCCTACTTTCATTTGAATCTTCTCAAAATGAGATAAATACCCACACAGACAACCATTCAAACCAAAGTAGTTAAAACTTCCTGACTGTCAAAATATCCTTTCATGTTTGTGAAAATGAAGCAGGATTAGAATGAATGTACTGATTTAGCTAAAAAAAAAAAGCTAGTTGTTGACTATTGTTTTGGCCTAAAAAATACACCAATCCACAGTGTGATCTCCTTTCAGTTTAATAAAAGAAGAGGCAAAAAAAGTCATTAGATGAGCATTAGAAAGATGTTAAAAAATGAAGGGCAGTAAAAGTTCAATCAAGATGTTATAAAAATACTGGAACATAAATGTTTGAAGTTAGTAAGAATGAAGCGAATGAGTCAAAGGATTAGTGAGCAGATCAGTGCAGACATGAGCGTGAAGGCGTGATTTCCCAAAAATCATATCTTAATATGATCATTTCAATTCATGCTATTAGATTTAGGAAGATAAGATAAAGAAGGGTCTTGATTTGGATGCCTCTGAGAGAATGATGATGAGCTCTAATAAAGTTCCCAAAGAAAAGTTATCAATTAAGGTCCAACTTGAACTGAACTTTTAAGTATTTTGATGTCTGTTTGATGTCCATCACCAGTTCATAGTTTTTTCACTGCATCTGAAAACAGTAATTTGTTTCTGTTCGATGTGAAAAAAACATTCAGAAGTAACTGGAGAGAAAGAAAACTACCCAGACCAAAGTCCTCTTTCAAATAGAGTGATTTTATCCTTCAGAGCTTAAGTCCTTTTAGCCCTCACATTCTCTCTCTTCTGGGCTCTATTTTGGTGCCTCGCCGAAGACGTGCCGCAAGCGCAGCGTCAATCAGATCCGCCGCGCTGACAAGGCGTTCCCAAGCACATTTTGGTATTTTGGTGAGCCGCGCAGCCCGGCGTAAGTATCCCCCCTCCCTAACTCAGCTCCTCCCGGCAGCATAAGTCATAGACGGGGAGGAGAGAGGGCGTGGAGTCGGTTTAACACAGCCGAGACCTGTTTTCACCAATCACATAAGCTCCTCTCCTTGCCTTTAAATCCGCCACCGGCGAGGCGTAATACTATTTTCATGAAGTAGTCAAAGAGATCGAGAGATGTCTGAAGACAGTTATGCCACACGATGGCGACAGAGGGCAGCTGCTCAACAAGTGTCCTCCACACTCTCTCATCTGAGCACAGATGGATTTGTTGTGCGTAATGTTGGACCCACTGGTAAGACAAACACCCTTTTCCACAAAAAAGACACTCACATAAAGTTGCATATATTCAAACCTCACGTGACAAAGGTGGGTTTAGCGCACAGATCACAACATAAACTCCAAAAATGGCATTAAAATCGGAACCATCTGTGCGTAAATGACGCATCGCGCTCCGTGGCCTGGCTCTTTCTTTCATAGATGTTGGCATATAAAATAAATTTGGCCCACAAAACTGAATATTATAATATCCGTATGTCGGCTTAAAGTAGATCACGCATCTGAGCACTGAAACAAATCATCTGTTCAGCCGCAGCAGCTGCAGCAAGACGGACAGAGGACACGGAGACGTGTCCAGGTCGAGCTGTGCGAGAAATAAGAGGAAGAAAGAAAAGGAGGGAGACACATTACATATCTTGTTAACTTCATCATGTGTGTTTATTTACTAGATATTTAATTTAATTTGATGCAGTTTCAGCTGTATTGATTCGGTCAGGTTGTGTGCCCAAACACGTGCCAAACGCGTGCCAAATGCGTGCCAAACGCGCTCATCAGATCAGATATAGATCAGAATATATCGATATAGATCTAAATGTATGTGCTGACTCAGATTAATAGTTGATGATGATTATTTATTGCACTGAAATCTGCCTGACACTGTGGAAACCTGCCGGTGAGGCATCGGTGACGTATGTCGATACGCCGCCGGTCTACCAAAATACTACTAGACCAGCTGCGTTCCGCCTTGCGCTGAAAGCTGACCAGGTTTGAATCGGCGAGCTTTCAGCGCACGTTACACGCCGGTGGCGAGCACGAAAATGTCACTGCGCCAGCTGATTCTGTCAACACCTCCCCCTGCCACGCCACCACGCCCAGCTTGGCGGATCTTGGCTCGCCTCCGTGCGACTCAGTCCACGAAAATACCAAACTCGCCTTACACCGGGCTCCGCCAGACGAAAATACAACTGCGCGGGGCTCGCCGCCCTCCGCCGCCTCACCTGCGCGAACGAAAATAGAGCCCTCTGTGGCAACATGTAAGTGTATTTTTGCACAAAAGAAGTCTGTGGATCTTGTCTCCCCACATATAATGAGAACAAGCCAAGAAAAAAAATCTTTGTACGAGGTACAAGGGAAATCTTTTACGAGGAATAAAGCAGCTTTGTCTGCACAAGAAAATCATTTGTGTCTCTAATTTGTCAAGGCCCAAAAACCATTAGAAACTGAGCCGGGGAGGTCAGGTAAAATACCACATTCTCAAAAGGTAATGTGTGCCTCAGCAGACGGCTGTGCAGCAGGAGCTACAAAGCAAAATCTAAGGGTGTACTACAAAAACCACATCGCCGACTTAAAACTGAAAGTTGGGCCTGTTGGAAAGAAGGAAAGCAACATGAAGATGTTTCACATCAGGGATATTAGCCTACTTCTCAGAGCTGGCAAGAACATTTTCCAAAGTATGCTGATATACCTGAGGCTGCATCACATAGAGCAGGCACACCCTTAGGTGTTACACAGCTGGTCTGTGGCTCTACTGAACTACTAAGGGATCCTGTGAAGCATAAAAAGCTTTGAATACCACTAGAGACTGTGCCCATTCACCAGATCCTGGAAGTTGTTCCTAAGCAAGCTCCTTTTCTCAAATGTGAATGATCTTCATAAGATCAAATATAAATGTACATCAAATATGATCAAAACTTTTATAGATCTAATATGATTTCAGTGAGCTGCAAAAGGGTTTTACAATGTTGTTGATTACATATTTAGTTCTGTCTACTGTCATGTGTTTGATCCTGTACACAGATATTAATCTGCCCACATCTTTTGTATGTGATGTCTTGAACAGCGGAGAAGATGTAGAGCCCAGCAGCTGTTAGCAGAGGCCGTTAAGGTGCTGAGTGAGGCCATCAGCTTGTGTCTCCAACACAACCTGCCCTCCTCTATCCTGGCTGACGCTTCTTTGCACATGTTGGAGTGTCATGGCCAGTCAGACTCTGCAATGGCAGGTCAATACCTCGCTCTATATCAGGTATTGTACATCAGCTGTCACGCCCAGGTGCATTATAGAGATTCAGAAGATTAAGTCTTGAAACACTGACAGACTGTATTCAGGATGTCATAGCTGGCTTCATGTACAACACAAGCTCTTGTATCTGTACTCTCACATTGTATCTGCCCTCTAAATGTTTTTCTTTGGGTTATCATCACCCACTATAATTCAGGCGCTTACCAACTTACCAACTGCTTCATCTATCTTCTGTTGTGTTCCCAGAGCTGCTGCACCGCTGCTACAGTGGCTGATGTCCTAAGTTCTGCTTGTTCTGGCACCAGTGAGTCTGAGCTCTCTGCTCTGCTCCTCTCTCAAGAGGAGAGGCCCAGCATCGTGCTGAGAGAAGTGGACTCCCTGAACAGCATCTCCAAGGTACAGGGTGCCAAACCCCCTTTCCATGATTTATGAATGCTGTCAGACAGAGCTCACTGATGGGGGACACTACATTTGTGCTGTTATGGCCTTTGCTCCAAATTTAATGTATGTTTACAAAAACCACATGAAGTATTAGAAATTAAACAAAAATAAAAATTCCTTCTCTAAAGTTCTCTTTTTTTCCTTGGTAACGCTTGTTGTTTCTGCTTCATTAGACAACTATAAAAAATAAGCATCCAGATGTCATATGAGAGTTTCCCCATAAAAGGCAAAAATATTTATCTTTATTTTTGTTGCCAGTAAAAACAAACAGTAATATTTGCCCAATAGTTGATTTACTAACCTTGACTTTCTATCTGATTCATGACACGATGATTAAAATTGTCCAGTGAAACTTTAGTCAGATAATTCGTGTTGCAATGGTTGAAACTTAATTGCAGCAGTAGAGAGCTGTTTGTGTTCGGTGTCCGTCTCATCTCTTCCGTCAGATTTATTTTGTATGCTGAAACTAATGAGTGATGAAGTAATATCACCAACTCTCTATAGTCAGAGCCTGCAGGTGGGTGCTGGGGAAGTGATGAGGCCAAAACTTTGAACACATGCTGAATGTGAAATCAGTGCAGTTTGAGTTGTCTGCCTGCACTAGCTTGCAGGTTGGTGGGGTACAGGTGTAGGGCTTGAGACAGATGCAGATATTTTTGTGTCACACAGCTCACATACACAGTTTCTGTTGGTATCATTTTATTCATTTTTTGAAACCCAACTTTTTAGCTGCTTTCTATGAATTGTTTGATTTAAATGAATGAAAAAAAGCATTTTAACTCTATGCTGTTTTATATAAAAACAACTCTCTGGTATGCAGGCCTTCAGCCAACTTACCATCAATCCCAACCACCTGAACATCCTTGCAGAGCTACCACCCAACCTGAAGATCCTGCTGCTCCAGCACTCTGAAGATGGGTAAATTCCAGTTTCTCACATATTAATTTTGTTCTTCTTTGCCATGCTGTTTACTCCAACCCTATTTCTTCCTGACACCATTGTGGCGCAAGAGTTAATGACTGAACATCATGCAAGTCATATAAGATTCAGTTTAAAGTCAAGCCTTGAGAACGAAGGGGCCTGCAGTGTGGTTGTGTTTCCACTAGAGGGCAGGGGGAATAGTGGTTCATGTGATACCAGGAAGTACTTGCATTTCAAAATATCCAAACATCTGTTAATTAAAAAAAAAATGTTGTATTTTTATAGTATGCAAGTGAAGAATACATGAGTAAACATTTTGGTATATTATGTTTATTTAAGAAATGATGATTCTGAGCTCTAGGTTCACAGCTCCCAAAACAGAAAAAAAGCATAGAAAGAACAAACCTCTAAAAGATATTAATTACGTTGCTACAAAAACAGACAATTTAGTTTGAAATGTTCATCTGGAATAGAAAAAACATTCAGCCATGTACCTTGATATCCCTTCTCAGATTGGATGGCAAATTTGGTAAACAGAGGAAACATAAAAAAGTAGTTAAATCTCAAATCCTACATTAAGAGAATTCTCTAATGAGTCAGTGTTCACTCTAAAACCTCAAACTAAAATTGCTAAAATGTTCTAAAATAAATGATTGATCAAAAAACTGTAGAATAGAGTTTTTCTGTGAGGAGACTGACCTTTAAGATGTGGAGAACAAGATAAGTAAAGACACTTGTCCATAGGGGGTGTCAAAATCAATACAAACTAAAGATTTTCTTTAAGATGTGGCCATAGGTGCTCAGGGAGGAACTGTCACCCTTTTTTTTGCCATAGCCATCATAAACTCCCTTAAATAAACTTCTTAATTTGAATGAGAGCAAACACACTTTTGCTCTGTGTTTGCTTTGTGTCCATCCATGAGTGGTATTCAAGAACAGCAGCACCTCTGGGACAAATCACAAAAGCACATGCAGCTAATTACCTTTCAGATTTAAAAAAAAAAAAAAGTCATCAGCTGACTTCAGAGAAAAAGTATTAAGTAACAAGAACATGTGGAGTGGAGTTCTGAAATATGATATTTCTCTTCTTAACATAATGAAGTAAAAGTAGTACATCAAATGAGTAAAGAAAGCTGAAGAGTTAATTTGTGAGCATGTTGTTTTCAGGTCAGAACTTTATGGAGCCTTCTACGAGGCGACTGAAACATCCAATCAAAAGGGGAAGACTACGCAGTGCACAGGTTTGAGGCTTGTACATTCTTTCACTTACGCTGACACTGCTAACCCACTAAAATCAGATGTTTGTATCACTTAATTATTATTATGCAGTTTCTAATTTCTCCTACAGCTCATATGATGCTTCAAGTAGTGCTTTATGTGTTGATCCAGAAGTATTTAGATTAACTTGTGTCCACTGTCAATGAACACAAGTGAAAAGGAGAAATACACCATGTAGAACAAATCACATGACTTTAACCATTTTTCTGCTTTGCAGCTGGCTGTGCAGGGAACATTAGCTTTCCCAAGTCATCACAGGGCATTAACATGCTGTATCACCTGCTCACATGACCTTTTCCAGCACTAGTGAGACATAAGAAGCTATAAGTACTGTGAAAAAAAAAAAGAATCTAGAATTCATGTGATAGAATTAGGACGAGTGTGAGGAAGAAACAGCAGGAGAGAAACAAAGAAAGAGAGCGGAGATCATATGAGAGGAGGACGTGTGGAGACGCTCACAGGGACCAATTACAGGACTGTGTGTGTCTGCATGCGTGTCTGATTGTGTGTCAATTCTGTTGTGTTGTAGGTACACTGGCATGCTCCAGGGTGGCTAAAGTTTCTGTCTGCCCTCGGGCTCTGCTGGCTCTGAGGAAGCGAACTCGGGCCTTTGGGCAGGACTCCAGTCTCCTTTCCTTTAAGGAGGCCTGCTGGCAGACTCAGCACGCTACTGAGGGCAGGAAAGAGGTTTCTGAGAAGCACCAGGTTTCTCTCTGTGTACGTGTCCTACCACTCTATTAACATTGTCCACCACAGGCCTCATAAAAATGTGTTTACTTGGCTGCATTTACTACCATCTCATGTCTCAACTGGTTCATTAAGAGCTTTACATTCAGGCTTTATGCTGCTGCACAAGATGAGTGCACAAACAATGCTTAAACTGCATCACAGCTGCTGAAACCTCTCATGTCCTGTGTCCATGTACAGAACGCTTCGCTAGAAGAGGAGCTGACGCCTCACTTTAAAGAAATTGTGCAAGACATGGAGAACTACCTGAAGCCACTTCTCACTCAGTTAGATTTCCGCTTCAGGTGAGTACTTCACACTTTACATGACACAAACGCTTTGATTGCAGTGTGATTGTGATTGCTGGATGAAAGATGGTGAAAGCGAGTCCTCACATCCACCAACAAAGTAGCAGATTTCACCCAGCTACATTTACATATTTCCCATTTATGTGTTTATCTTGTTTCATTTTACACATAAAAAAAATGAGCATCCTTACCTGTCCTCTCCTCCCTCAGGCCAGAGGCTGCATCACCCAACCCTGAGACAGCCAAAAGCAAAGATAAAGAAGCGATAGAGGGTGCAGGTACAGAAAGCATGTGTTGGTTGTGAACTTGATAGTGTGTGACGCCCTTAGGGGCTGTGTGCTTATCTTCATAGTGTATCACATGAACCACTTTTCCAACATGTGCTGGGCTTCCTGTCTGTTTAATGGCATCCCATCTGGAGGTTTCTATTCAGCAGGCTGCAACTGTTCCCCCCTTAGGCCAGTATAGTAGTCGTATGTGTTTAATCTGATACATGTTTATTTACACACACAATATAAAGCAGAGAGGATGCTAGTGCCATTAGATTGTTCCCAACGGAGCTGTTCAAACAATCACACTGTGCAACTTTGAAATAATGACCTTCATAAATAGGGTTCCTTAAAGGCTGTTGTGAAGTAGCATTTTATCCAGTCAACTGTGATTAAATGTTTCGATAAAAACGTGCTTTCTTGTGTCTACGGTGAAATTACCAGAAGAACCAGGGCAGTATGTGGTGTTGCTGGCAGACAAGCAGTTGCTGGAGTTGCCGTTGGAAGCCTTGTCAATCCTGCAGGAAGACAGCCTGGCCTCTGTTTCCAGAGACTTTTCCCTGCAGGTCCTTCACAGTCGCCTGAATAGAGAAGAACCACTGAAAGGTAACAGAGACAGACATGCAAAACAAATGTTTGCATTGACTGTGTCTGGTTTCCCAGCCAGTCCCATGAAGATGCAGATTTTACGGGGTTTTCACGCTTAAAGCAAAGCAGGTGTTTTTTCCGGTTTATGTACAGTCAATGCACTGATTCAGACTTTACACTAGGTGGAACAAATCACACCAAGGAAGTCACAAGGATTCACAAATTCCCATCATGACCAACTCCAGCAAGAACTTCTTGTGACATTGTTTTGCAAAAGCCTGTCTGTGCTGAGATTGTCCTGACATTTTGTAGATACAGTCAGTCCAAAAAAAAAAAACTGTTTGCAACTTATTTTGCAAACATACCAAAAAGGAGAAGTAAAATTTAACTCTTTACAAAGCGAAATCATAGTGTAGTTTGTTGGGCATCATTTTTGACTAGTTTATTGTATAAAAATAAAAACATAAAATAAAGTAAAACCCCTTTATAATTTGGATTCAAACAGCTGTTTCCATTTGAGAAATCTTGGTAATGACCCGGGGGCAGCAAAAAGATTTTTCCAAACACAGTTTCCGAAGAAAGACTCCACAAGGCTCCACCTTAAGCTCACTTTTTTTTCTTTTTTTATTGTTTCATCATTAACAATCTACCACTTTTATGTCCAAATGGTCACAATCATCTTTTTGCTGATGATACTGTCATTTACCCGGTCAATTCTGATACATCCCAAATCTAGAGTTCTTTATGGTTGCATTTGAATCTTGCACATTTTTTTTTAATAGAGTTAAGTTTAGAGTTTGCTAAATGACTCAGGTTCTGCATCTGAGTTTTAAGAAACCCTGAGGGAGGAGGTTAAATACTGGAAGGTTGCTCAGCTCAGTTAATGAAAGCTTGATATAGCACAGCATGCAGGGAGATGGTCTATTTCATAGGGACAGTATTTTATTTTAAATATAGTGTGAAAACAGGTCATATTGTGACATATTAACTGGTCAAGGTATAAAATGTCAACGGGACTGGGGCAGGTAAAGTATTGAAACAATAAGATGTGACATATTTTCAAAGGAAGACAATGAATCTCTTTATAATGTGGCTCATACTAAATCACTGATAAGATCAAAAAACAAAAGGGTTCTTCTGGTGAGAAATGAGATCACACAATGCGACTTAGAGATTTTTCTACAGTATAAAGAGTGGATGTTTGCGTCACGTAATTCCTCATCATATTTCAGTTTGAAAAAAAGGCTTGCGAAAGCATCTCTCTGCCTGTGTTGTGACTGCAAGCAGCCAACCATAGAAATGGAATTTGTTCAGGAGGGAAAGGTCATTTCGCATCCTGCTGGCATGCAGAAGTTCATGCGGACATCCGTGAACACCAAGGCCAGCTTTGCTAAAGTGGATGTCCATTAACTGTGGCAATTCTGCTGTGCATGCTGGAGTAATTCACTGAGCAGCATCACACTGTCTGCTTTCAAGGTACTGAGGGTCTAACAGACCTTGTCAGGACAGAGTTTAAGTTCGATGCACATTATGATGGTTTATAAATCATTAAAGCTGATTTTTAATTGAAATCGGCACAGAAAAAAGTCCCATTTGAAACAAAAAAAAAATGTCACATTATTAAAAAAGTAAGGTTTTTTTTTAGCCTCTGCAGTGATTTCCAATGCAGAGTAATAAGATCCAGCCGTGGTTTTTGCACATGTCCTTGTTGAACAGAAATTTCTCCTAATTTTTTCAGTTTTTTCAAGATATTTTGTAAATTTGATGACAATATTCCTCAAACACTTTGTAATTTTGTGACGAGGGACATTATCTTGAAATTGTGAACAATTTGCTCACACAATCACTCTTTAATTATTTGGAAGATATTTCTTCGGTTCTTCTTCTTATTTATTTATTTTTAACAGTATCAACTTTTTCTGTGTTATATTGTCCTAAACCCAACTTTTTGTTGACATGTCAGTAAGAATATTTTTCACAAAATCAACCACATTTTCGGTTTCAGCATTTGACATCTTACCTGCGTACTCTTTTCATTCAAATACAGAGTTGCAAATAATCAAAATGTGTTTTATCAAGAGTTTACACCGTGATCCAGCACTCTGGTAATAATTTTTTGGTAACAAGTTATTAAAACTCCTAAGTGTACACCACTGATCCAACCAGCATTTTGTTGTGGTTCTGCTGTAGGCATCTACCATGGCCTCTGTATAATAAAAAGCAAAGTAATGTTTGGTGATGTCCTCTCCTTAAACTGAACTTCTCACATGATGATTTTGGAGGGTTAGGAAAGAACACAGACGGCTGAAAAAATATTTACCTTTTCAAAGGTTGGGTTATTTGCATAACATAAATGAACCTTCAAAGGTTACTGTTTAACTTGTGTACCTGTGGGCGTCACTTGAAACTCTCTTATGCAACAGCCAGGGTGCTGCAGGAACAGGTATTTCCTAGATTACCTTTCAATGTCTGGATTAAACACGCTACACGATAATGGGACCTAAAACAAATATAGATATATATTTTTTGCACCTACATTAGCATAAGTTTGACATCTACAGTTTACCATTGTGTCAGGAAGATATAGTGCCCGAAACAGTTTTGAAAGGGCTATTTGTTATTCAGAGCTTTGCATGAAGTACGCACGGAACAAATTAGCACAGTCTATAAAAAGACTGCCTTCAGGTGGGAAATGCTTGCCTTTGTATGAATGTCTCTCCCTCTGTCTAGGAGCTGTGAGATGATAAAACATCAGTCCAGAATGAACCTATGCAGGATTTATCGAGAAGATTTAACATGAGCTGAACTGTTTCTTCTTTGAGTCACAGTCAGTGAGTCAAAGTTATCCACATGTAAGGAAAACCGGTAGATAGATACTTTTACCTGCTTGTGAAGTCTGGTGCAATGAACAATATGATACAATATGAGCAACATGACAGTGTGAAAAAGTAGGATCCACAAGGTTAAGATGATTAGCCCTAACCTTGAGTCAGTAACTAGCCAGGTGGTGAGCTGAGTCCATAGAGGGAATGTTATGTTCCGAGTCAAGGACTTACATCTCATATATGATCTTCGTTTTAAGTTAAAGTACAGCCTTGGTGTTATTGGTGTTAGAGTGTGTCATTACACATCACGTCAAGTGGTTGAGGAAGCGTGGAAAGTACAGCTAGTTAACACACAGCATGAGCTCCACATACCCAGACAATTAAAAAAATGTACATACTGCTCTACGCTGCCAGCTCCATTACACCTCTAGGCTTTACATATTGCAGGTGTAACAAGTGTGTAAATATCCTGCCTTGAAATGGCAGTATGTAAACACCAAGTGACACTGTTTCATTTTATGGTGTAGCAGGTAAATAGAGAATTGTTTGGTAGGATATTTCTTACTCTAAAAGAAAATGCATTCACCATTTCAACGCAGCAGCTTGTTGTCCTCTGGTGCCGAGCTTCGGGTTGAAAACTCACGTCATCCTAATCCTTATCCAATGTAAAAGAAAATAATGAAAGCTGCAGCAACAGTTTAAAGAGCTTTTGAGTAAAATAAAGTGAAATATAAAAAGAAAAAAAGTTGCAAAAATATGGACAACTGTAAAGATTTATGATATTTACAGAAGCAGAGAATGACCATGAATTTCTCATTTTTTATCCACTGTTATCTTATGATAACAAGTTAAACTCGTTGTCTCGATATGACAAAGTTCATTTTCTTGAATTATTTTTTTTCATTATCTCGACATAACATAGATTGTTTTCCCATGATAACAGAAATAATGTGTTAGTCGACCTCAACTATAACTTTTCAGAACGCCCTCTGCTTAGGATATTTCTGAAATGTTGCAGACATCGTTGTCAACAGCAAGTCAGGGTTTTCAATGAAAAAGCTGACGACACGCTCCATTCTTCGCATGTGCTTTACTGTTTTAATGGTTCATGCACGGCAGTTAAATGTTCCCATGTTAAAAGTGTCATCAGTTGTTATCAATCAATCGTGACTTTTGATTAGTGATCAGAGTTAGAATGGGACATCAGAGATAACTAAAGTTGTGTGTTAATTAAGGTCCCTTAAAACAGCAAATATTTAGAGCCATTTTGTAGCAGGCACCTTCAGTGTAGTACTTTGTAAACAAGAATAATATGAGATTTGATTTGATTTATCCTTTTTGGCTTTGATGACACAAGTATTCTAGAGCCTCTGCTGTTAAAGGGTGCTGTGAAAGGCTTGAAGCTCAGCTGTTCACCATTGCATTACAGCTCAGATATCTTAATCAAGAAAAGAAGATTATAAAGTGATGATCCAACTCAAGTAACACTGTTGAAATACACACACAAGTGATGTGGTATCCGTTTATAACACCTCTGGCAATGAGATGAGGTCATTTGTCCCATGATGGGCAGACTAAGAGGACACTCATGGGAACCCTTAAACATGAACACTGATCAAAAAAGTCTTGAGTTATATATTTATCTCCAGGTCATTTGTTTTGGGCTCTTGTTCACATGACATGATGGTTTTCTTTTTTAAGGCCTCTGAGTTGCCAAAGACCCCAGAATCCCAATTTACTGCAATTGATTAAGATGGCCTGCTATTACCCGAAAAGGGGGCGTGGTTAGTTTTGACTGCTCTATCTATCTACCATTTTGTTGCCAACATTGGCATTAGCTACTAACTGCCCGTCTAATTCCCCATCCTTGATTTCACTGTGCATGTTAATATTTAATGACCCAGGTGTAATATTCTCTCCATTTTATTGCTGAGTCCATGCATACGGATTTTTTCATAAAAATACTTGGTGCACATGCTTTAAACTTGCGTGTGTGTGTGTGTGTATGGCGCGCGCATTGGAGTGTGTATGTCTTCATATACTTGACTTCATTGTGTTTTCATCTATTTTATTGAGCACTATAAGTCAGTATAAAACATTCCATCTTGAAAGACAGATAAAGAGATGCTATTCTTCACTATTAAGTGTGAGTTTCCCAGTTTTCTGTTTCCTCTTTGAATTTCTGAAAAGTGCAAGATGGCACAGTAGTAGATGACAACGAGGAAAGAGCTTAGATCAAACCTTCAAAATCTGAATAATCATCCTAAAAATTAAGAAACTGCACTAATTTATTTGCTAGTTTGAAGAAAACCAATACTATTTATCACATTTGTGTTTGCTGTGAGGAGGAGGACTTTTCAGTAATGAGAAAGCTTTCGTGACACCTCTACAGTCACTACTAAATGTCACAGACTGCAGACATCAGTCTAAATGCTGTGTAATCTATCTGACGGACGAGTATTTGTATTAATGCTGCTCCCTGTTTGTTGCAGTTGAAAGTGACAACAACAAAAAAACCAAAGGTGGGAAGGGAATGAAGGCTAAGGCAGATCAAAGCCAAGCCATCAAAGCGGTGAGTTCAGTAAATTAATCTGTGCCAGCCAGATACAGACGGCAATATTACCTTTACGCGCTGTCAGCACAGGCTGTAATTTAAGTCCCTCTCCCCTTTTAACTGTGCTTTTTTAATTGATTACATAATGTGTTTTCATAAAGAGCCTATTTTCGGCTTCAGAACATTTATCTTCTGTCACCTCTATTTTTTTTCTCCAGTCCCTCCCTTTTTACCTCGATTTCTTTGCTCTGTTAAACCCTGCTCTCATACTCTCCGTTGCAACTTGTGTTCACAGATATTCACATGTATAAATCATTTGCATCTGTGCGCCTGCATATACTTCATGTTTGTAACTTTTAACTGAAATTTATTCCCTCAGGCACCTGTGAATCATACGCTGCCTTCACACACTCTCCCAGTGGATATTCGTAACTTCAAATGTATCCTTTTATCTGTTCACTTGAAGATCTCTGTTTGTTTTAGTCATAGTTTCACTCTCTTCCATGGATCATTATTCTTAACATGAATTTACAGATATTGTTGACCTACACAGTGACGGCAGCTTTGGTACATGAGACATGCAGTATGAACACACCTTACAGCAGACACTGACATAGTTATCACTCTCCTATGTTGGAGTTTTGAATGTGTGGCATTTATGTCTGAGACAAATTTCCCCAAGAGGACCAAAAAACATAACATGTCACATCATGCAGTATCGTATTGTATCGTGACATGACATTGGATTTCTGTACTGTGAACACAGACAGTGATTTTGGTAGTGAATTTGAGCCCATGCAGGGATTTCCACTACAGAGTCATTTGTTTCTAAAACAGATTGTGGCCTCCTCCATATTCCTTGAGGGTTTTCAATGACATTCTGTACCTAGTTGTTGAAATCCCCCAAATTCCTCAAGTTATACTCTGAAGTTAATATTTCTGAAATTGCTGGTCTCTTTCCCTTCCCCTTGAATTTCAATCAATCAATCAATCAAATTTTATTTATATAGCGCCAATTCACAACAGGCATCATCCTAAGGTTTAGACCACGCTCATTGTTCAATGAATTATCAAGATCCAACCTAAGATGGGATTTGGCCCGTCTCATCTGACATGAGTGACAGTGGCGAGGAAAAACTTCCTTGTAACAGGCAAAAACCTTGGGGAGGACCCGACTCATGGCAGACAGCCACCAGGCCGCTGCTGGGTTGGGGAGGAATACAGAAAGATAGGGGGAGAAAGAGAGAGAGAGGAGAGGAGAGAGAGCAGGGAGAGAGAAAGAGAACAAGGTAGAGGGAAGGAGAGAGAGAATAGATAAGGGAGAGGGAGGGAGAGAGAGTAGAGAATGAGGGTGAGGGAGAGAGACAGGGGACAGCAGCAACATTAAAACAACAGCATCAACAACAACAGCTCATGTAATGATAAATTTGACCCTCAATAACTTGAGACTCAACTCAGACTTGAGCTTTGGGACTCATGGACAGTCTTTTTATTTCTTATTTTTTGCTTCAAAAAAATCTCAAGCTCAATGACATTCTGTCACGCCTTAGCAAAGTGTTGATCACATATAAACCATAACTTGGGAGGCGACTCAAGCATATTCATATCTCATTTGAAAATGACATTGCTACGAGCAATCAGAAGGTTGGTGTTTGCTCTGCAGGTGATCTGAGAGAAAGATGGGAAGAGACACTGTAGGTTCCTCCTTTTACGCTTGTTTGAAAAGTTTTGCAAACTTGATTGGCTGATTGACATGAAAAAGAATCTGTAACATTGTTCAAAGTGTGGGATGGGACAAGGTTTAACATTTCGGGAACAATCCTTCATCACATCAGCCTATCTTGAACAGTACTTTTTTTCTTTTAGTTTGTAGCATTGTCTTGCACACCTCCAGTTAGTGTCACAACTTTTTAGAGAGCTCTGTTTGTGATTTGAATGTGGCACAGATGGGGCCAGCCTGAGTATGAGGATGGAGGACATTTTAAAACCACACAGTCAGCATTTGACCTCCCTGTGGGAGGGCGTCATGGGCAACCAACAAGCACCTAGGTAAGAAAAGCAGAGTAAAGACTGCACCACAAGTTTACAAATGGTCCTTGCTGCTTACTAACACACACTCACCCTCTTTATTATGTTTCCAGTCTATTGGAGATGCAGCAGCTGCTGAGCAGGTGCAGTGCCTTCATTTACCTGGGGATGGAGTGCTTCATGGCAAATATCCCACCTGGAAAACTAGCAGCCCTCAATCTGTCAGGTACAGTGGACCGACACAGGCATGAATTCATTGCATTTCCTCATGGTTTTTAATGCCTAGACCTTAGAGCAGTTTTACATGAATAAATGTATGTTTTTATATTGAACCCAGTATTCCTATTTCAGTTTGGTTGACATAACAGAGGCAGCATAGACATCCATACTTAATGTGAAACTCCTCCTTTACATAAACTCATAATAAGTCCATCACTTACCTTCATCTATTATTAATGACACCAGGCTATTCTTTTTTTTCAAGATGACATCAAATAAAAATGAGGTTGTTATTTTAGCTTTCCTCTGTCGCCTTATTTACCATTATCACAGCACCGTGTCCTTTTTTTTAGAAACATGAAAACAATCAATATGTCAATAAATCTCAGAATAATGAGAAAAACAAAGATACGCCCTGTCATTAAGAATTTGGAGCACCTGATGTCCGAGCACTCTGCCAGATGTTTCGGCTTTGTAAGCCTTTATATGGACAGTTAAAAAGAACAGATGTCAAAATAAATGTAATAAATGAATAAGTAAAATTTGGGGCAGCATTGTTTGTGATTTATGTGTGTTATAATAGAGCTGAGGGTTTCATCTCCTCAAACTCATCAGTCTTTTATTCCATGAGTGGGTGTATATAGAAATGTCCCCCCCCTAAAATCAATGAGGTTGTAACTGAAGCTGTATCATTTCCATAACCTTGATAAGATTCTGTTCAAGTAAGTAAACAGAGAACATACGTGGCATCAGAGGATTAACTGGTCATGTTAATGGTCTTATCTATTTATTGGTGACACACACAATGTAACACATCTAGTAAATAAGAATATTTACCACAGTCAATTGACAAACTTAGTTTGTGTTTTTTTTACCCTTTCTGAAGAGATGTTATGAAGCCTAATGGTGGCAGTCTCTGTGTTGAAAATGCAGACTCAGTGTAACTTCCAATAAGTTGAAAGGTGAAGCTCAGCCACACATCAAACCTACAGATAGCTTAAACACGACCACCTGTCACTTAACACACACAGAACATTACGCAAACAACTTCAATCCTGACTACTAAAAAAAAAAGAAACAAATTAAAAATTTAACGTAACACCCTTTTTATGACAGTTCTTCTGCGCCATGTCAAAAGGCAGTGTCCATGCTAAACAGATAAGTCTGTCGGAGCAAGAAACACGTCAGTTTTACCTTCGCTCCAAGAGCCTCGTCCTTTACTAAATCATATGCAGGCGAAGTCATTTGTTCATGTTACATTGATTGCATACAGGCAGTGTTGCCACGGTTACCTTTAAAAAGTCATTTGATTACAGATTACTCCTTTAAAATGTAACTTAGTTACTTGACTGATGACTTGATTTTAAAAGTAACTTAGTTAGATAGCAAGTTACTTTTTTAAGCAGCCTCAACATATAAATAAAAAACATTTTCTTTCCAACACTCACTTAATTGGAAGTGTAATTTTAACAGGAATATCAAAAAATAATGTTTTAAAAAAAAAAAAATGAAGATAGTCTTTCTTGACTGACAAAACAAACGATTTATTGATTTTTTTCCCCCTTGGTTTCACCAGCAAACACAGGTGGTCAGATGTTTGGTGGACTTAATCCAGTTTGACTGACAGAGTGACAGGCTGGCCTTACACTTCCCTCCAGGCCAAACATATGTGCCACCTTCTAGTGTGGCGTTTGTGCTGCTAACAATAGTGCGACTGACACCATGCTCTGAATTCCAGCTGTTACTCCACAAAACAACAGACCATTTCCACTTAATTGGCCATTTGGATCTGATTAGATGATGGCAGATTGGGCTTTTCTCAGAAAGAGGAGTGGTTGTGTTGTACCAATCTACACTCCTGTCTTATCTGAGAACTCTGCATTTTTATCTTTCGTTACATAATGACATTACTACTTGACTGGACTATTGGAGGGACACAGGTCCATGACTGTGTTACTGTTGTGACGGTGACTGGATGGACTCCCTTTTTTTGCCACAGGCAGCTTCATGGTATAAAGAAGGAGGGCGACTTTGAACGCAGACGTTATCCATACTATATCCTGTACTGTTGTCAGACAGAGTGCCTGTGAGGCACTGCCTATAGAGGAGATAATAGATGACCTCTCTGACACACACCTGCTGTCCCACCAGTTTTCTTACACTCACAGCTTCAGTCCTAAGGTCGGTGTAGTAGGGGCTTGTTTTGTGGTCTAATAATAGATGGACTTGGGTTGAAGAATCTTGCCAAAACCTCTTTGTGGAGTGATTGATTGATTGACACTGTAGAGCTGTACAAAATGTCTCATTTTAATTGTCATATGATGAAAATGAAAAGGCTGCTGACTGGCAATGAAAAAGAAAATACTTTTTTTTTTTTTCCATTGGCAATTATACTTCTGTTTTCTCCTCAGAGTGCCGCATGGCCCTGCTCTTTGACTTGGCCAGGAGCAAAGCCAGTGTGTCTGGACAAACAGAATTGGCCATGCACAAAAGGTAACAAATCAAATCAATTCATTTTATTGATAACACTGTCACACTTACTTCAAATATTAGTTTCATCTTGTCCTCATCCTTTCATCAGTTTTCCTGGTTAATCAATGTCATTGTGATTGCCTTCAGTAGTTTCCAAAGAATTGCATCTTTTTGGATGGTAGTAGATTATATTCTCCATTTCTACCTGTCTTTCATAATCTCTCTGTCTCTCTCCTCCTTAGTTCAGAACAGCTGGCTCTGGGAGAACCTCTGCAGACCGCTCTGCTGCTAAGTTTGGGAGGAGTCGGCTGTATCGCCCTCAACCAGTGGCACAGCACCGTTCAACAAAATACACACAATGCAGCCCGTGTCCTGGACAGTATGTTTAAAACAACAATGTTTCCTCACATGTTTTGATATTATAGAACTAAAAAGTGATTAGTATGTTTCAAATCTCTAGAGAGATGGACTGCTTGTCAAAGAGTAAATGCTTCTCTCAGTAATTTTATGTTTTGGAAATATTGCCCAGGGTCCAAACGAACCATTTGAAGCCCCAAAGTCATTCACAGATGGAACTAACTGATGCAGCAGTAATCAATGCAGCCAGGTCACTTTAAAGCTGAAGAAGCTGATTATAGAGCAAATACTTCTCTTTCTGTCCTCTCCATTATTTGTTATCATTATTATTATTATTATTATTATTATTTTACTCAGGGTTCTTCAGAGTCCAAATACCCAAAATAGAGACCAGGTTTAAAAAAAGAGATGTCCCTTCAACTCTCTTTGATACTGAGTTTTTTTTCCTGGGCCATCTTTTGCAGTCAAAGTACTAACTCTGGCTCTGTCACCATGTGTTTCAGATCTGCTGAGGGTCAAACTGACCTCTGGACAGTCTGTACATTCACTGAGGAAAGGAGAGGGTTCAGCCACGTGTCAAGATGTTACAGGATCACATGGTACTGTAGATCCTCCTCACTTCTTTGTTTAGGCTCTATTTGCTCAACAAAATACTTGCAAACATCCTAAAGACTCAGTCATATTTTCAGTCCATTTCAGTAGCGTTCATCTGTGATGATCACTCTCCCCCACAGAGGAAGTCCTCCTTGCTGATTCAGAGGGAGATGCTGTCCACCACAAAACCTCTCTCCCACCTTCAGCCTTTAACTTCATTCTTTATGGACTCCCAAACCTGATGGTCATCTGATCTTCTTCGGCTGATAGTTCTCAGTGTGAGCACAGTCGGTGTAACAACAGCATATGTTACCAATAAATTAAATCTTCTGTAGTTTGAGGAAGCTGAATGTTTTATTAAAAATGATATTTGGTTCTTTACTTACATTTCCTACTGCATATATCTGTCAGGACTCTAATTTATACATTCTGGTTTGTTTTAATGTTACACAGCAGACTAAAGGATGTATGGTGAGACATGCCTGACAAAGTGAACTAAGGCAAAAATCACTTCCCAGAGACTTATCATACACCCCTTTTACCTTTACAATTGTATATTTTAACAGGATCTCCACTTCACATACTACACTAATTTATTTCATTTTTAGAGCTTGGATGGGCAGCTATAATTATTTAAAAACTGTGTGTTGTCATCTGACTTCACCAAATGTAAGAAAAAAGGGTTTATGGTCTCTATCCAGGTGTTGTAGACTAGATACTTACCAAATACTTTTTATACTCCAATGGCCACTAAAAAATGGACTGTGGCCACAAATACCACCAACAATTACACATTTGTTTCCTCAATTATCTGCTTTTCTTTTGCCTGCTCAAGGACACGTTGAATGCGGACAACAGAGCCTGAATTTGAACCCCCAACCCTTTGATTGGGAAACAAACAGCTCTTCCACTGAGGCATTACTCTGGGTATTAGCACCCACCTACAGTCTCTCCTTCATGTGTACTCATGATCATAATGTCATTAAAGCAGAAACACCCCCTCTCATGTAAGAAACAGGTGTATGCACGTGTTTGGGTCTGAAGTAGAACAGAAGTACATTGCAGATGAGTTTCCCTGAGTCAACCCAAAGTTAAAGAACTTCATCACAGATGTTGGTGCAGGTTGCTCTCTGAGGCCTCCTTTAGGAGCTTGTAGCCTTTGAGGTACTGAGGAAACTGGTGAACTGTGTCTGGTTTCAGGGAGTAGCTTTTGGGGATTTCTTTCTCTTTTGCTTTCTTTGCAGAGTGTCCTGGTGTCCTGCAGGAATTCCTGGTGTAGATTTTGTCAGTGCCTCATCAGTAGACTTTATCCAAAATGAGACAAATTTCATTATTTGAAAAAAGAGGAATTTTCCCTCTTGGAGTAAGCCAGCAAGAGTAGTTCATTCAGATGTGCTGTGTAACTCACAAGGATGAAATGTGCCTACTTGCACCACTAATATCTCTAAAATAACCCCCAGTGATAATAGTTTTATTATTATTAAGATGTGAGAGTTTAATGTCTGCAAAAACATTTCAATAAAACCTCCAGGGCCTGATTCACAAAAGTGTTGCTCAGCTTTGGCGGTCGTTGTTAAATGAACCCTCATGGATGTAAACTAAGAAAACTAAGAATATATTGCCAAAAGAAGAGAAGATCAAACTTTTCAGTTTGATTGCATACTGAATCTTTACCAAACACAGAATTACCCCTTCAAAATAAATTTAAATTAGAACTATTAGGGATGCTGTCAGTTTGTACCAGACTGAATCAACCTGAAAAGTTTGATCTTCTCATGAATTATTCTTCATCTGGTTTGTGGTCATCAAGGATCAAATCCGACTGATTGGTTTTGTAAAGGAAAGGTCTACACTCCTTGCTAGAAACCCCATCATCCTCGATTATCTCTAGGAGGAGGGCCGTGAGCTGTGACTCCACACCAGCCGGTGTGACGACCAGCCTCTTCCTCTTTACTTTCAGGAGGGAGGTGACGAAGAAAAATAGGCAACAGCTTTTGTTTGTGGAGCTGCTGACTGCCCACCCAGAGGCATGCTGCATATCTAGCAGGGGCGCAAGGTCAGAGAGAATGGTAAGTGTAGCATCTGATATAATGCAACATTTCAACATGTGTGATGCTAATATTCAAGTGCTAAGTGCTTAAGCTAGCTTTTACAGTACATAGCAGTTATCATTTCCACACCCTATTTCCTATTATTTGTTTTTTTTTTTTACTAGAAACGGACTTCAACTGCAATAAATCCCTCTCTGCCTGTGTAATGTATACAGGAATTTTAGCTGCAGTCACGCGGTCTAAGACTGGGATGAGCTTCATGTCTGTGAAATGGGCCCTTTGACAGCTAAGGTTGATAGATGTACCTGTAAAGTATCCATGAAACTTCTGCTTTTTTATTCAAGGCCTGAGCGGTCTGCTTGCCATCCATGGAGCCCTGGACAAAGCTTTGATTTATGGTGATTTGATCTGTTACCTTTCCCTGCTGGGTCTGTGGATTTGATATTTTAAAATCTACAGATAACATGAAAGTCACATTTTATTCTTTTACTTATATTTTTGAAAGCACCATACAGTCAAATATAAATATTGTGTAAGATCTTTGAGGACCTGGCAGTGTACAGTTCTTTATGACTTCTGACTATTACTTTTAAAAAAGTGGAAAACCAAGATTTCAGAAGCACACTAACCTGCATTTTTCTTAATCACATGCATAATTTTAGGATTCAAATTTTTTTTGATTGCTTATGTTAGATCAAAAAATGCTGTTCTTTAGGGTGGAGTGCAGACGAACTATTTGGGCTAAATCCACCACAGAACATATGTAAAACAGGGGTGTTGTCTCAGTGATGTTATCCATCGGTTTTTTAAAGCAGACTTACCATTTCGGTCGACCCAATAAAATTTTCATTTTATAATGGTGTAAAAAAAATTTAGTCCAAACATGATTTTATGGTCTTAAATACGTCTTTTGTCTTTGCCAGCAGAAAATGCCAGGTTTAGACCAACCAACCAACCAACTCCACAAGTTAGTACCAAAATGCTGCAACCTGCTTCCTATCCTGCAATGATGCAAAATTGCAAATTCATTTTCAGACTTAAAAAAGAGGAACCTATCGCTTTCTGTAAGAAAATTGGACTAAAACTCTTTACACTGTGCCCCCTGTTAGATTCTGATGCAGTGAGAATAAGAGCTGTAGCTACAATAGAATTGACAGTGGTCCCCCCAACTTTTTTTCTGCAGAGCTCCCCTGCAAACCATTTTTAGACACTGCACACTGATACTGCAACATTCAAGCAGATAAAGCTTAGAGAGGTGTGACTGGTCAGGGTCTCCTGGGGTCCTTTTTCCTTAGTATGGGAATCACTAGTGATAGAGATAGTTGGATTCTTCTCTGTGAACCTAGTGAGGAAACATTAATTAGTTGGATCATCACTTTTACCCTCATCATATTATTATAATCCAAGCATAAAACACTGAAATTAGCTGCTGTAATTATACCAAAACAGAATAAATTGTGGCTCACTCTGAGCACATAGTGTTTTATTGATTTTATGTTTGAAATTGTTCACACAGTAAGTCTCTTCCGATGTGACTTTAGTGACTCTTTATGTTTAAGACCACATGATGAGCCATTAAAAGACTGTCCAGGAGTGTTTTACTTGCCAGGAGGGAAGAAGTGGCGAGTCTCATTATTTCACACTTCATAAAGTAAGAAATCTCCCACAGACAGCAGATCCATGGGGATGTGTTGGTAGGATGATAACACAGAAACAAGATAATATCAACCTTGATGAAAGAATTTAAGTGATTGATAATTTTGCTTTTTTAGCCGAACATTAAAAAGCGTACCAAGGCTATGTGCATTGGCCTGCAGTGGAAAATTTCTGATTGTTACTTCATGGAAATGCAATCACATTGAGACGCTAAGGCAGAAGTACCGCGTCTGCAGTTCATATACAAGATACACAAGAATTCTGATTGCATTTCCATGAGGTAATAATCATAAACGTTATTCCTTGAGCTGCGAAACTCCACTGCACTCGTTGATCGACTCGTCAGGGCTCCCCCACAAACAAGTGGCTGCTGGAGAAGAGTGGGTGAGTTGTGTTTGGTCTCTTTGCTAAAGAAGCCAGGCAAAGCTAAAAAGATGTTTGGTGGCTAGTACTATGGCTGGTAGGTGCTGTTCTGAGTAATATTTGTGGGTACGAGGGGCTTTTTGTTTGCTGTTTGCATGTGGAGACATACACCTCTGTGTATTGCTATCGTGTGGTCATTACCAAAGGTAGTATAACTAGAGAAGCAGGGGGCAGCAACATTCATCTCTCGAGGGGGTGTCTAACTCGGTGTTACAGTGTGTTTGACCATAACTTAAATTTATGCTGGAATATTCCTTTGACTGATAAAACATGGCTCAAACTATGAATTTAAAATACACGTCCAACACATTTTGAAAACATGAGTTCTGTCATTATTGATATCTTGTGCTCAGTTATGTTTAAGTTTTCATTTTTCTGAAAATTTTAGTTTTAATTTGTCTCCAGTTGAGTTGTCAGGATGCAAGATTTTTACATCACAAATATCGTGATCATAAAATATCAAGATAGCAAAGTTATTGGGTTATAAGTATCGTGAGTAAAAACAAAATAAGAAGAAAATGCAAGGCAAGGATGGAGCAACATAATATTATTAGAGTTCATGATTATTACAAGAGTTAAAAATTATAATGGCTACAAATAAACAATCAACTTCATCATCAGTTTAAGATTTTGTTCAAATTTATGATTTATCCACATAATTGGCTGATTGTCATGCTTTTGTTTTGATATTTTGTGTGTTGCATTTAGGCTGCTTAATTTTCTACACTGTGAATATGCTTTATTTTGAAGTACAAGCTAAGAATTAAGAAATTTAGAAACCCAAAAGGCACTTGGATTTACTAGAAAATTCAGGATAACAGTTTTTGAAAGGGTCGAATCACTTCTTAGAGTGAAGCTAGTTCTTCATTGCTCCTGTATTTTGTGACATGTAGCAACCAGCAAAAAGGACCATTATTCTGAACTCACAGAAGTCTAACCATCTGTACTTTTATTCAAGCACAATAATAATATCCCATATTTTAACAGCGGACAGCAGTGCATGGGTTCTGACTCTGGATTTTGCAGGTAGAAACTAAAGTTATGGTGAGTATGAAGCTTTGACCTGATGATCTGGGCAACGTGAATTCTGGGACAATGTCATGTCAGTCAGTTTAAAATCTTCAATTTGCCGCAACACTTCAGGACAGCTGGTGGCACGTTTAGAAGACGAGGAGTCATCAGAGTGATCCTTTAAAAAACAGTTTCGTACCCCAACAGCATCCCGCCATGTCTCTGTTCCAACTATGGTCTTAATATAGGAAACGATGTGCAGTAAATGTTTCAGTAAATGACGATGACGTCTGAAATCATTTTGCAAGTCAATAACTGTGCTCTCTCTATAGAATGAACTTCGTCATCATTTTTATCACGGATATGGCTCATTTACATCACCGTCATGTCTGGGTTATTCAGTCCAGTGCACTGAGTCTGTCATTTGACTATTCAGAAAGGAGAACAGCTAATGGCTCTGATGGATGTTCATATTTTTTTCCTGTGATGTTTTCAAGGTCAGAGTTGTGGCTCTTCCTGTTTCGTTTTCAATACTGTCAGGACTGGTTCATCCTCAAGGTTACATGTGTACGTGTGCCATGTCAGCACAATAGTGTGCAAACATCAAGCAGGTTCAAAGACATGCAAATGTTCTCACGTTGGTACAAATATATTCCAGATGTTGTTGTTCTGCTGGATTGAGACATGCTGAAAATGTGGATCCCTGTGTAAGCCTTCAGGCAAAGCTTAGTCTCGTGCTGGAAAGCTGAGGGGAGAGGAACACTATGAAACACTCACAGGGCTTTCAGCTCTGTGGTCTCTGTATGGCCGTGCTTGCCTTGCATGTTCTGAAAGTGAACAATATGTTCTGACAGAGGCGTATAATAAGAAACAGAGCTCTGTACATGTCTGTGCAAAGTACTTATCAATAATGCAGGTACAAGACACAAGATGCTTTACAGTAAATTTCCTCTGTGCTACTACCAGGGGTAAAGTGGGGGGGAATGGTGTTTTCCTCCTTTTGTTTGAGATTATTATTATTCATTATCAAGTTGTGTGACCGGTCAAGAATAGCTCAGTGCTTGAATTACAACTTTTAATTTCAGTAATGAACATTTACATATTTTGTGTCCAAATTAGTTTGAATTATGAGCTCTGGCCTTTACAGGCACCAGATCCCAATCACATCACTCATATGGAGGATTTTTAGTGATTAACTGAACCAGAACACCAAATCACTCACTGAGCAATTCCTGGTCTAAAAGAGGTCTAATAGATGTCTAAATGTAGCCGAGAAGACTGGTCTAAAATCAGACTACCACAAGTCTAAAAATGAAAGTGTTTTTAGATGTCTAAATTTAGACCAAGTTTAGGCAAAATTTAAATCTGGGCTATATCTCTACTATAATGTATGTCGCTCAACGGCTATCATAATAATTTTGGTTAAGTCCTTGGAGATCAGTTATACAACTCAGTTGCTTTTTGAAATAAATACTTATTGAATAATGGGTTACAGTGCAACGTCTAAATTCTGTCTAAAAACAAACAGAATCAAGACAGTTGAAATTAGGTCTAAAAAAAAACATGTCTACTAGCCGTCTATTGCTCAGTGGGCACCACCCAAAAACAGAAGTTTGAAACATTGGTCATCAAATCTAAAGATCTACACAGAGTTTGTATTGGTGTGATGAAAAAGTTATATATGCACAACAACTTGTTGAGACCATAGACTATATATATAATGGACAGAGTCTGCCTCCCCACTGGGTGAAGCCACTCCAAGAACAGCACCCTCTGGTGACAGGCTGTGGTATAGGCCGTAAATCCCGCTTCCGCCAGTAAAGCTTATGGAGCTGTGGACAAATTTAGAAATGAGTTACACAGAATATCAATTTTTCTCCCCCCTGCTTGTGATGTTGATATATAGTTATTGTAAGACTGGTTTGTGCTCAAGTCCTCTTTTTTCTGTACAGCTCCGTTTTTAAAAGTTATTAGGGGGTTCATGTTTTCTATGATTGACACTTCATACAGCCTATGGGTGTATGAAGATTGTGATGCTCACCCGGGGGATACGCTGTTTGGGCCGAGCGTCATCACAGCGACTCTCGGTGATTCTCTCGCCAAATGCCCACAACGCTACTGCGCAATGTTGGTTTCAGGAAATGGAGAAAAAGCGCAGAATTACCAAGAGCTTTTCAGCTTCAAAGGGGGGTAAGGCTTTAGCCAAGAAAATGAAGTTATGCTACATAAGTCAGATAACTTCAAACTGAATGCAGATAGTCTGTCATCACCACTTTAACACCATTAAATAGAAGCCTTTTGATTCCATGAGGTACAAAGTGGTAGATCAATGATGAAGGTAACCTACAGATGATGAATGAATGAAATGAAATAAATAAATAAACATGAAATGATCATATGAGAATTGTGCGACCTACAGAGGCAAATGTTTCTCGTTAGTTGTTAGTGAAGGCCAACACAGCACTTAAAGGATGGCAAATATTGAACTTCCCTGAAATATGACTCTGGATGAATGCAATCAAAAATCAAGCTGTGAGAGGAAATTGGGACCACACCAGAAAGGCCATTTTCTGCAGTTAGCTGCAAGCTAATTAGAGGTGTGTCTACAGTTTATTGCACTGCCATGGTGAGGAGTCATTGTAAACTGTCTTTCTGTGTTGGAGTCAATAATAATACAGCAGCAGGGGCAGTATTGGATGAAGCCATGGGCAGAGTTATACCCTATACATGCCCCCTGTCCTCCACTTCACTGACTTGATTTGCTATCCTCAGAAACAAATTCAGACATTTCAAGGTCTAATCTGCAGGCTTTACGTCACTTTTCTCATCTTCATTTTTACCTTTCGGTCTTGCTTTGTATGCAGCTGCAGTATCACAAGGGACATCAGTCCTCCATGCAAGGCATTAGTGTCAGCACAGCTCATATATAAGAAACAACACTCACATGCGTCCCTCCCTCTGCTCATATAGGACCCAGCACATGATCAGAGGATAAAGACAGTAAATAATAATGGCAGCAAGATATGGGAACTGCAGCACATAAACAAAATGTTTCCTGCTCGAGATGAACACATCGCCATCAGATATCACATTTTCATCTAACCTGTGGTGTTACAATGAGCCAGCAGCACTTTGATGGATTTCTTCATCTCCAGCAGCAGGAGTAAATTCACATACCACATGATGATATGGCAGACTATATATCCTGCTAATTCTCACCAGAGAGGCCTATCTCCGTTCTCTCTTATCTTCCGTATATTAAGCAAACCATTTCATTAGCACAGATGCTCTAATATGTTAGCCTGGAGGCTGTTGTCCCATGCAGTCCCCTCAGATGAAATGGAGCCTCTCCTGATTGCCTCCATCAGTGACCTTCAGATTGCTCATCTCGTGTCTCTGCTGCTCCTCTGTCAGCTCAGTGTTGGTGTGTTTGGAGGATTATGGCTCTGATGGAGAGGGATGAGCTAAAGACAATCTCCCGGCTTCTCATTAACAGAGTAAAATAGCTACTTAGTCAAGTAGAAGAATTTCATTTACTGGCCGCTGACTGTGTTTCTGTGCACAGAGCTATGATAGCCTTCTTATTTTGTTAACTGCTCCCCATTGGCTGTGAGGATCTGCTGTGTGTCCTCCTCTTTCATTCATTTGAATTTCTAAATTGCTGATGTGAGTCTTTGAATGCTAATGGTTACAAGCATAGTTAGGGCCTGATCTACTAAGATCCCAATAGCGAACACTAAATTGCGCGTGCAAACGAAAAGATTGCACATGCTATTAGTGGGCGTGTTACGATCTACTACTTGTTGATCATTGTGTGCGCAATCGATAACAGGTGCAAACGTGGTGTGGACTGCCCTCCTTAAACAAGGATTTTGCATGTGCTATCGGCCGTCACCATGGAGAGTTTGTGAGAGCAGAGTGATCGTGGAGGAAAAATGAAGTTTGAGTTCCACCTATCATTTTGGGGGAAGCCAGCTACTGCATAAAAGGCGAGGGAAGTTTATTTGTATAGCACCATTTATACATAAGGTGATTCAAAGTGCTTTATAGATGCATGAAAATGTATTTGAAATGAAAAGAAAAAACAGATTCAAATAATTTAAAATCAATTAGACAAAGAGGTTAATTTCTGCGACTGTTCGGTATTTGACCTAATTTATCAAAACCGTAATTTACTAGAAAAACGCTTTAGCACTTTTGCCTCCTTCTACCCGCAATGACTGCAGCCATTTGTACGTAACTCTGTGCCAGTTTACACGTGCCTTTCAAACGTGCTAAATATAGGCGCTAAACAGCAACCAAAATCGATTTTCGGGTTTGATAAATGACATTGCGGGTGTTTAACAATTGCATTTACATCTACTCCTCCGGGAATTTTGCATGGTCTGATGATCTATATACAATCTGCATATTCACGAAGGAAAACACGCTAAATTGTTTGCACACACTGTTTTGCTCATTTGACAGACGCAATCCTCGGTGCACCCGGTTAGTAGATCAGCTTTCAGAGGGATAGCAAACAAGATTCTCTTATCTCCTTTAACCTACTCATGCTGACTGCGAGGATGGACTCCACTAAAGACAAAACAGGTAATAAATTTTCCAGCTAGAAGAAAACAGCGGTTTGTTTTCATATTTGTAGTTCAATCACAACTGTGTATTCAAGTTCCTCTTACTGTCACTGCAGCTCAACCTGATGATAAGACAGAAAAGACGGTCCAGCGGAAGACCTGCTCCTGTGGACTACACTGAGATTAGATGTCAGCGAAGACTCCCACATCAGAGGAAAGGCCACGCCCCCCAACTGTGGCGACCTGCAAGATTTTCCCAACCATCACCTCATGAGTCGTTGACATTTAGGTTCTTGGACTGTGAAGTCTTTGCAGTGCAGTGACCAGTGAAACATGGATGCCCGCCCAAGTCAACAAACAGTGGTTCAACCATCACAGGGTAAAGTTATTCAAGCCTCTCTCCTTCTTGTTGTGGACCCTTGTGTTTTAGTGCTTTCTATTAGGAATGTGACAAAAGTAGGTCAGAAAATACCCACTTCACCAATTTTATATTATGTTTTTACTCTTTTAAAATTCTCTCAGTCAAGAAATGAAAGGAGAAGAGGGCCAGGACGTCTACTTATTCACTGTAATAAGTGATTTCTTAAAGCAAGTCTTAGTCAACAGATTAAATGATGGATCCACTTTTTTACAATTGCAAAATAAATTGAGGTGATAGGATAATTTTTTATGACATTGTCTTTTTATGAAATAAGACAGGAGGTGATATGTCACCTCACAACTTGGCCGTGATAAATGTAATTCTAATGCACACTGGGACCTGTGTAAAAAGATATGCAGATTAAAGCTCCTTTAAGCTGGTATGAAATAAACTAGAATTAATAATTCATAATGATATCTTACCTTTATGTGTTCTGCCAAAAGACTTATACTCAAGTCCTCCTGCCCACTAGAGGCAATCTGTCTTTTATATGTTTGACCATTTTTGAGACATGACTTGCCACTCATTGAGGGGGGTCATCATAATAAACACAAGAATCTTTGGACGTCCTTCAGTGAAACAATTTTAACCTCCAATAACTCTGCTTGACAAAGGTAGAAGACTCCAGTTTTAATTTTTGTAATAAGTACAATAAAAACCCTTTTTTTTCCATGACGAGACAAGCTGATGACGAGCCAAAAACCATCACTGACAACATAACTCAGAGGATTGTGGTTTTGTTTTCGTTGACGTGACAATGACAAGACAAATCGTCTTATATGAACTGTCAAACATTTCAAATTTCATCATATTTTCCTCACTGGACATCTTATCCTTCAGTTAAAATACAAGCAATGCATTTCTGCAACAAGTTTGGTCAGCTAAGGGTCGCAGTGGTATCTTTGGTGCATCAGGTGTACTGTTGGTACAATTGCTCTCTGCCTCCATTTGTCCTTCCCATTTTAGTCATAAACTTTACCTGATTAATGATAAATTTGGCAAGACATTTTGTAGTGAGGATAAACTATAAATCACTAAAATGAGGATTTACTTGAGAGTGCAGGGGACTGTCTGTCTGCATTTCTTGGACTTGAGGAAAGTACTCATATGAGTTTTTATGAGGTCTTGTGTTTCTCTTACGATTTAACATTCTTATAAAACTGCCCCCCTGTGGGACAAGAGAGGCTTTCTGCTGCTACACACCACAGAGAAGTAAGATGACTCTAAAAATAAATGAAAGCATTTTTTATTCAGTTGTTATTCAGCCACATGCACTAACCAACAAACAGACAACAACAGGATGATGCTTGCCACCAACGTAGTACCATGTACTTCCTGGTGGGAAACTACAAAAACTACCAAAACCTGCATGGGGTACAAGAGGAGACTCAGTTGCATTTAGGGAATGCTGGAATATTATTATTTGGGTATGTGTCACAAAAAAGTCATGAGCTTTAATTATATTTGAGTTTTTTAAGCACTGACCTTGTAAATGGGTTCACTCAATGCATTTTGAGACATGAAAAGCCAGTTTGGCAATGTTTCCATTAAAATAGCTGCACTAGCACTCTACGCCTCTGCTCAACTGCTGTTTACTTTTTGTCACTGCTATAAAATACTGTATAGATGATGGAATGTTGGCTATTCCAGGTCATATAATAGTGGTTGAACTCTCTAAAGGTAAACTTACAGTAGGCTACACACCATATGGGGCAATATATCCAATAAGTGCAATGAGAGTTTTCAGTTTTGGCATCACAAGAGGACTAATGCCTTACGTTTAATTTTGTGTATCATGTAATGTAACACTTACCTTTAAATTAGTAGCACTCAAGCTCATAAGTCTCTTAGAGTTTCATTCTGCCATCTGTGTGAGTCTGGATATAAAATCGTGGTCTATTGAGCAGAACATAGATGCTGAAAGGAATTATCTAAATTTAGTAATGCTGCCAATTATTTCTGTTATTGTGAAACTTTTCAGAGAGGGTGAAGTTTTCATTGTTACAGCCTGATGATGAGGCCCCCTAGGCAGTGCTGACTGACGACTGGGTCAGTCTCACTGATTAACAAGCCAGCAGCATGTCAGTCATGGCTGATGGATTATAGTCCACACTGTACTGATGGAGGAGTGGCCTTCAGGCAAGAGGCTGCACTTGTGGCTCTCCTCTGGGGATTTGAACTCCAGGTTTTAGCAAGCAAGCCGACTCCCCCCCCCCCCCCCCCCTGCTGTCTCACCCCATCTCCACGGGCTCCCACCTGTGTGCAAGGGCATGATGAGTCATGAGTAAGCCATGGATGGACATGCATCTTAATAGAGTGAGGACACAGCATTGTGGCTGTGAGTCAACAGTAGGAGATAGAATATGTACAGGTGGATGGAGAGGGACATATGTGAGTGTGCATAATGAAGAGCATATCCAAAAGTTGTAGAGATCCATTCAGAGCTGAGTTTAAAAATGATATAAATACATTAGAATAAGCTGCATAATGAACCCATACTGTTATATAAAGTGATACAATTATAACTGAATGCAAGTTTACAACAGCTAAAAATCTAACATTAGCGTTATACACTAAAGGCTGCCATTGTGTGGTGACCCTTGGAGCTAAAAGATCCACTCTGATGAAAATCATGTTTTTCTTGTTGTCTACATGTTCATATGGCATTTTCTGAAACCAGAGGACATATCATTGCATGTATTGGTATTTCTGCATTTAAATTGCTGTGAACTTCTGGCAGACCCAAATGACAGGTTCAGACACGGTCGGTTTTTCTACATCACAAATTTACTTTAAGCAGTAAAAAAAAAAGATCAGATGACATTAAACTGTTACATTGTCATCTACAACCATCTGTTTTTATGTCACAAGACGGAGTTTTTGAGGTTTCATGCTCTCATGTTGGTTAAGCATGCTCACATTTGAGTATCTATTTCTGAACACTAACACAAAGCAAAATCATTTGTTTGTAGTCCTTCTACCTCCAAAATGATTTTGGTTGGTCAAAACCCCATGGCACTGGTAATTAAACCCCAGTACAAAGGAAGACGCCAGGGGAAACCTGACAACACACATAATTTTGAATCAATCTCTGTAAAAAAGGTCAACACATTTCACTCCTGCCTGTTAAGTCTGTGGCCTTCCCCTTTCAGGACTTAAATTTGCATAACCACCCATTATTCCAACACTTTACTGACTTTCACAGACACACGTTCTTTCTTTCCAAGGCAAGAGATTTAACTTTTAACGATCTCCAACCAGCCACACTAAATAGCAGCATTTAAGGATTATGGGATATAAATAACTTGGGATTTGGTTGGAGGGATCGTCTACATTTAGAAAACCTCCCAAGCAAAGTTCTGTTGAAACTTTAGTTTCTGTGCAAAAACAGATCCAACCTCCCTCTTTAATGGTAGGAAGCATATCACTGAAGCAGCATTTCTTTCAGAGTTGGATTAAGATGTTGTCTACAGATATTCTGCTTTTTGGTTTTGATTGAGCATTTAATTTTACTCCCCACATCACATCATTTCAAAATTCAGAAACTCTAATGATTTTGGAGGCTTGAATAAAAGTTACTTTTTAAGAATTATCTTTATGGATTTATTTACCTTTTAAAGACAAACACAGTAAATGAAATATAGATGTATGATAGATTAAGAGGTTTTAAAAGGGAGATTTTAATGCCTCACCTTTCCTCATGTGCGTTATCTTTCCTAAGATGTGATTACTTGTCACTTTGACTTGCTTTGACGTAGAGCTGCTGTCTGACAGCTTCGTGCCTCATTAGCTGTGAAGAGTCATAACTCTGTGTCTCGCGCACAGCGTGAGTTAGATAGTAAAGGGGTGGAATCACTTCCCTCAACTTCAGTCCTGGAAATCACCCAATATTCAAATGCGTAAATTTCACACCTCTGGTTTAAATTTGTAGCACAGATATTTGTGTAATTGCCGCCATCTGCCACCAAGTATTTTTTTTCTTTCAAGGGACTGCTGCCTTTGAATGAATAAAGACTCAGGCTGTTCATGCACATTTTGCTCATTTAAAATCAGGCAAAGGCCCCAACAGGACAGTGAACAGAGGGGTTTCTCAGCCCAGAATCACTATGCTGTTCATACTGTTCAAACAAAATGCAAATTTTTCATGTGGTGTCTGGTGTGCTAAATAAGCCTGACAAAGAGTTTAAGTAGATATTATTGGGCTCAATCATTATTAAATATACAGACATGTAAAAGTCCAACAATCTGATGGTTAATGCTGGTTTAATGTCAGGATCTAACTGAAGTATAGTGTGACAACAAGGATTTGTTTCTTTCTTTTACCTGGATTACATCTTCAGAGAACAATCAACCATTTCCATAGTAAATACAGTAAAAGCTGTGAAAGTCAAATGCAAAACATATAATAGCCTCATTTACAGAAAAACATTGAACTTTCTGCATTGAATGTTTGTTACCTGGTCTGCTGCTTCCCTTTTGCTATTGAAAGAGCACCCCTATTAAATGTTGGCATGTTTTATTATTGAACTTTACAGTATACATGTGCCAGCACTTCAAACATTAGATGAAATGACATTAGACAAGCTCAGATTGATCAGAATATCGGACAAGAAAATGAGTTTTATGACCTTCTATTAACACCAATAACATGACTGGTGAGTCTGCCTTTCTATTTTATTACAGGATGAAGACTATGAAAAGCTCAAGTGTTGGTGAAAGGCTGAATCTACCCAGTTTCTCCTGATTTAAATGAGGTAAATCTTGTTCAAGGGCACTTTGAAGTAGCTGCCACTGGGACAAAATGAAGGTTATATTTCAATCCCCCATGTGGATTTTTTTCAGTCCATCCAGCTCGAATGAATAGCCCCCCAAGTCATCAAACCATTAGCCCAATTCTGTCCCCTTCCTCCAGGCTGCAACTGACCTGCACCTGATTACATAAGAATTGTTCAAATCAAGGCTTTCTTTAAAAAGGGAAATGGCCAAACTGTTCAGGTTATCAATCATTTGTACTCAGAGTATAATCCCGAATGTCTCTGTCCAAAAAAAGGGAAAAACACCTGTATTTATGCTGATTGTGGTTTGTCATTTTAATGCTCATAAAAAAAGGATCAAGTTTTTGTATAATCCTATTCAAACGAGGGCTGAAAGGTGGTGCAGTGTTAAGCACAAGGACATTTTTATGGAG